CGAATTCGTTCAAAGAAATAACATAAGAGAATTACCGTTTATTTTGAATGATGCTGTATACCAGTATTATCATTTTGTATTTATTTTAAACAGGGTAATATCGTGAATTGATTCAAGTTAGACATATACACCATATGATGCTGGCTCAGTGGCCAAAAGGTTAGGCGTTCGCGCACTAGGCCGAAGGTACTAGGATCAGTTCTTTGTACGGGATCATAGATTTGCATTTCTGAGATATTTCATATTATAAAAAGCAGCTCTCTAATACTTACCAGTTTTCAGTCTAGCTAAGATTAATTTATAATTCGAACTATAAATAGTAAGATTACTATAGCTCTACCGGACATTTAATCATAACTTAAGTTTCAAAAGAGATATTTATTTGGGTCGTTGAATCAATTAAGCTTAACAACCATACTGACTATTAGAATTCAAGGTCGAATATACTTTGTTTACTACAATTCACAATGAATGCATTGGCATTGAAAGTTTACATTTGTTATTATTTGATTCTAATCCTATTCTGTATTTTTATGTTTTCTTATTTATTGATTAATTGTTGACCTAATAATTTTCGATCAACTAATAATAATAAATTTTTTTTGAACTTTATTTTTTTTGGCAAACGATTTATTTACATTAAAAAACTTTTGTTAATTATGTTTCGATCAGAAATCATTTTACATTTCTTCTCTCTTCAGACACCTTATAAACATAGTTTGGTCGAATATAAAATATGTCACCAAATGTTTGTATTTAACTCACTGGTATGATAGAGTGGATTTTAGTAAGATATTACAGGAATGGAGTCTTGCACTGATGATATAAGAATCAAGAATATTACCCCTTTCCTAGAATCTTATATCCCCGAATGACCTGATATGGCCGAGTGTTCGCTCTCACTCTCGAAATGCTGTCACATGGCCATGCATACACAACAACTGCCAGGGAAGTTCTATTTACTGCCTTCTCGTGTTGTTCACGGAAGTAAGAGGACGAAAAGCGAATGTCCGGCGCTTTAATCGGGTTGGTGAGCACGGATAGTCCACCTAGGGAAGTCGGAAAACCCTGATTCCAAACCGACGGGCCACATAGGCTGCAGAATCCTGAAGGAACAAATGGAGTATGAACCAATCGTTGGTCATCGTCTACCATGGGACTACATCTGCTTACGATGCTCCACTGCCTTGTGGATCAGACCTTTAGGTCAAAGGCTCCGGCTGTGTCCCCCTAATAAAACCACCTGTTTTGTTTTGGGCATCTGGGCAGTATCATAGCCTACACACAAATCAAGTGACTTGTACGTATTCGGTACCCCTTTGTATCAATATTTATTCGTTCAAATAAATAAATAAATTGAGCAAAGGAATATTAAATTCTGAAAGCCTGACATGTGTGATTTTGACAATACTATATTTAGATAGAATATCACTTGTTTATCCCTATTTTTAAGTAAATAAAATACACAATGGATAATGTTATTCAATGGTTCGTCCTGTTTGATTCATCAACAGAATAGATTGTCTAGTAAGATGATATCAACCACATACTAACACCAATCAAACTCTTGAGTGGTAGAAATTTCTACTTCATTGACTACTGATTTGAAATATTGATCTCTTTTTCGAGTCACATTCTACCACTCACAGAATATTCAACACTGAATAACTAATTACCTTATCCAAGCTACATTTATCAGGGTATAATCTTATATGATCCTTAAAAACCTTTATTTACACATCGGTTTCGGGACACAAAAATATTTCAAAAGTTTGAGAATAAATAACAATGAAATCACTTGATTAGTGAGAAAATATCAATTTTAAATATGAGAATCTGATTACACGAACTAACGTATAAAATCGTTATACTATAAATTGATGATTCCTAAAAACACTAAACTTACTTACTTACTTACGTCTGTTACCCCTCGTCGAGGAGCATAGGCCGCTCACCAGCATTCTCCATCCAACTCTGTCCTGAGCCTTCCTTTCCAGTTCTTTCCAGTTACTATTCAGCCTTTTCATATCGGCTTCTATTTCCCGGCGTAGTGTGTTCTTTTACCTTCCTCTTTTCCGCTTCCCTTCCGGATTCCAAGTTAGGGATTGAGTCGTGATTTCCTTAATGTATGTCCGATCCACTTCCAACGTCTTTTCCTAATTTCCTCTTCAGCTGGAAGCCGATTTGTCCTCTCCCATAAAACGCTGTTGCTGATAGTATTCGGCAAATAGATGTTGAGTATTTTGCGTAGACAACTGATTATAAATACTTGTACCTTCCTGATGATGGCTGTAGTAGTTCTCCACGTTTCAGCTCCATACAGTAGGACTGCCTTGACGTTCGTATTAAGGATTCTCACCTTGAAATTGGTTGAGAGTTGTTTTGGGTTCCATATGTTCTTCAATTGTAGAAATGCTGCCCTTGCTTCGCCAATCCTCGCCTTTACACCTGCATCCCATCCTCCTTGTTTATCAACGATGCTCCCCAGGTACTTGAATGTTTCCACCTCTTCCAGGATTTCGCCATCAAGTGTGATTGGGTTGGTGTTCTCCTTGTTGCATTTGAGAATCTTGCTTTTTCCTTTGTGAATGTGGAGGCCTATCGATTCGGAGGCTGCAGCTACATTTTCTGTTTTCATCTGCATTTGCTCGTGTGTATGAGAGAGGAGGGTAGGTCATCTACGAAGTCCAAATCATCTAATTGATTCTGAGAAGTCCATTGTATTCCGTATTTCCCTTCAGATGTCGAATTCTTCATAATCCAGTCAATCACTAGAAGGAAGAGGAATGGGGAGAGTAGACAGCCTTGTCTGACTCCGGTCCTTACTGGAAATGCATTTGTCAGCTGCCCTCCATGCATGACTTTGCACTGTAGTCCATCATATGAGTTTTGGATAATGTTGACGATCTTTTCAGGAACTCCATAGTGTCGAAGAAGTTTCCATAATGTTCTCCTGTCAACGCTGTCAAACGCCTTCTCATAGTCAATAAAGTTGACGCATAGTGATGAGTTCCACTCAACTGATTGTTCAACGATGATCCGTAGTGTCGCAATCTGGTCTGTGCACGACCGATCCTTACGGAATCCAGCCTGATGATCCCTGAGTTTGGCGTCTACTGCGTCTTTCATCCGACTCAGCAGCACTCTGTTGAAAACTTTTCCTGGTACTGATAACAAACTGATACCTCTGTATGTAGGTGTCATTACCAAGACTTGATTTGATAATTTTGAATAAATTGAGCATTGGGTAGATTGTTATAAATAAATTATATATTTGTAATATCCCAATGAGTAGAAAAATTAGATTTTCTGACGTTTCGTGACTCAGTGTAAGCCACTTCTTCAGAGAATAAATAAATCATATGATACCTCTGTAGTTCTCACATTGGCTCAGATCTCCTTTCTTTGGTATCTTGATGAGATATCCTTCTTTCCTGTCCGTTGGCACTTGTTCCTCTTCCCAAATCTTCTTGAATAGAAGGTGAAGCATGTTTGCAGTTATTTCAATGTCTGACTTCAGTGCTTCAGCTGGTATATTGTCAGGTCCAGCCGCCTTCCCACTTTTGATTTGTCTGATGGCCATCTTGACTTCTTCGATCGTTGGTGGAGTGACATCTATTGGAAGGTCAGTGTGGGCTGCTTCGATGTTCGGTGGATTCAATGGGGCTGGTCTATTCAGCAGTTCCTCAAAGTATTCTGCCCATATTTTCCTCTGTTCTTGAATCTCAGTGGTTGTCTTTCCTTCTTTGTCCTTGACTGGTCTCTCTGGTTTGCTATATCTTCCTGTCAATTTCTTCGTTGTATCATATAGTTGTTTCATATTCCCTTCTCTTGCAGCTTTTTCCGCCGTCGTTGCTAGTTCTCCCATGTACATGCACACCAATTTCATAATGTTGAACCAAAGCAGAGAAGCATGTTAACTTCTCAACACTCTAAATCACTAAAAGAACTACGAACAAACACTGATATTGTCTTGTTGAAGCCTGATAAATGATCAGGCGTGGTTATCATGAACAAATGTGAATATAAGGGTAAGATGTTATCCATCCTCAGTGATGAAAGTAAATTCACGCTTGATGTTGAATTGGGAGGTATTAACAAACTAGAGGGAAGAGTAAATTCAAACCTGGAAAAATTGTTACACATGAATATTATTGATAAAGAGGAAATGAATTTCTCAAAACCTATGGGTTCTGAGTATCCTCATTTATATCTGAACTACCCAAAATTCATAAATTAAATACTCCTTTACATGCAATTTTATCAATATGCCGATCACCCACACATAACCTAGCCAAATGGCTAACAAAATTATTCGATCCTAATCGAAGACGTTTATGTAAGTATTCTGCAAAGGATTCTTTTCAATTGGTCGATCATTTCGGTGACATTAATATCAAAGGAAAAACTATGTGCTCATTTGACGTGAATTCCTTATTCACGTCAAATGTACCTTTAAAAAAGACTATTGACATTTTATGTGACTATATATCTTCAAACAACCTTAAATTACCTATCACCTTAAAAATTTTTAAAGATTTATTACTTTTATGTAATGATAAAGTTCAGTTGAGTTGAGTTGAGTTGAGTTTTGAAGGCGAATACTTTGGTCAGATTGATGGGGTTGCTATGGGTAATCCGTTAGGACCATTACTAGCAGATGTGTTTTTGGCACATGTGGAAAATTTATCTGAAGACTTAATCGGAAATATGTCACTTTACAAGAGAGATGTGGATGATATCTTAGTGATCGGTGAAAGAAAGGAAAATATAGACTGCCAATTGATGATGAATACAAAACCATATCAGTCTTTCAAGCGAAGAGGAGAAGAACGACCAACTTCCCTTCCTAGATGTACTTCGAAGCAGACGAGAAGATGGCTCAATGAAAGGATCCATTTGCGAAAACCGACGTGAACGGGTCATAAAGTTAGTTACCATAGTTATTGTACTGTGCAATACAAACGTGGTTTGGTAAAGTGCCTTTTTAACAGGCTTCGTCATATTTGCACAAACGACGCTATTGATGATGATGATGATGATGATGATGATGATGATGATGATGATGATGATGATGATGATGATGATGATGATGATGATGATGATGATGATGATGATGATGATGATGATGATGATGATGATGATGATGATGATGATGATGATGATGATGATGATGATGATGATGATGATGATGATGATGATGATGATGATGATGATGATGATGATGATGATGATGATGATGATGATGATGATGATGATGATGATGATGATGATGATGATGATGATGATGATGATGATGATGATGATGATGATGATGATGATGATGATGATGATGATGATGATGATGATGATGATGATGATGATGATGATGATGATGATGATGATGATGATGATGATGATGATGATGATGATGATGATGATGATGATGATGATGATGATGATGATGATGATGATGATGATGATGATGATGATGATGATGACGATGGTAAGTTGGTATATATAAAGCCTATCTACATCACCTTACCATTTAGAGGTGATTCAAATAGCCTTTCATTGAAACAAAGGCCTAATTCTGTCTGTCATCAACAAAACGTATTGTTCAGCGAAGGTCATAATCAAAGAAGGAACGAAGTCCATGCTTCATTCAAAACCTAGACGACATGAAAACGATTGTGTCACATCCCACTGCGTTTACCAATTTAAATGTGTGTCTCTCAGTGTGTGTGTGTGTGGTCACACATACATAGGGAGGAGCAATCGTGATCTGAAAATTAGTGTGGGTGAACATGTACCAAAATGGTTGAAAAAACAAATAGAGTCGAATGACCCAAAAGGAGTAGAGGATAAACATCCATCATCTTCTATTGCCAAACGTATAATCGAAACAGGTCATAAGATTGATCTTAACTCTGCTTTTGTTGTGTTGTTTAAAAGTGTAAATGGGCGTATACTGAGGTTTATTGAAGCCTTAGCCATACGAAAATTCAAACAATTGATTGGTCACATAGCAGTGCCCATTGTTATCTTTGTCCTAGTCCATAACACTGATCGAATTCGCGTGATCAATTTATCAACCAAGTCGTTTGCACAAATAACTATGTCTACATATCACAGTGAAATAAATACTTGGCAAACGAAATACTACCGCATTACAATCGACACGGGATGATTCGATCAGTGGAAGGTAACATGAGGATCTCGAAACTAACTTCCCCAAATGTCCAGTGCTACAAAAATGATAATAATAATAATAATAATTCGAATGAAATTGAACAATCAAACAATCTTTCTTTCGATGGAGAATATCTATAGTAAACTGAGTCGAAATAATGAAAGACAGATGTACGAATGTATAGTTAGTTTGTGCATGATTTATTTGTGAATGTGAACGATTTGTATGATGGTTTAAATTCGAGAGATTTGTGTATGACATCTACACACACTACTTACGAGTAACTAGAAGTGAGTTGCACAATTCTCTTAGTGTATTTCACTGATTGATCTCTAACTAATCAGTTATTGATTGCTTAATGTATTCCCTACTCGTTCAACCACATGGATTGGTCAGTTTCCTATTTGTCTGAACTGACACTTTGCAGTTCGTGCTGTGTTAAACACCATGAATGTGAGTTTTATTCAGGTGAACGATTGTTTCTTGCAGAACAATATGTCGAAGGAGAAGCCATGACAGTTTGTGTCTGTTACCCACTCCTGATGCTCAACTTCGGTGGACTTGACAAGGTATTCAACAGAACTTCCTAACTTGAGAATGCTATCATTATTGTTATTGTTATTACTACTGTTATTAACACACAGAGAAGCATTGGTTTTCCCATATACAATTAAATCACATTTGAACTCACTTGATGTTGGAAATATGTGGGATCCCTAGCAGACACTGGAACACCACTACTATATTATACATGTAATCCACCTACAAAATAAACCACAATAATAAATAAACCACAATAGTCCGCATGAATTATTCTTCTCCAGTACTCAGACGATACTTGTCATGGAGTACACTTCGAAGTACGACTCTCCGACTTATCACATCTTCCACAATTGTTTTCTCTACCATATATATCTGGATTTGTTTCCGATCACGAACACGTGAGCCTTGTTAGGAATTTCATATTCTCAACCAACAAATCTCCACTATGAAGATGTTGAAGGACAGATTTAAGTAATGGATGAAGAATAACAACGCCATCACTTGACCACAAAATACCATCAGGAGTAGTGGATAACTCATCTCGTTTCCGGAAATAGACTTGACTGGAAATCAAGCTCATTCACTGCACCATAGTTACTACATAGTATTTTAATTTGTCGCAATGAACGTATATGTTTGTGAATTAATTTTGCTTGTAAGTTGACAATATTCATATTAGCAATCAATCAACCGACCATGAAGTCAGAACTAGGTGAGCATAAATCAACGTATTATATTCGCAATTGGTAATCAGAGCGCAATCACGTACGAAGGAATCATCAGTTAGTACAATTACCACAGCTACACAACCGAGCGACTCGCACACTTCACTGAACTTACACAGTGGTCAGACTTTAACTAGTACGCTCTAAGCTGCCCACATTCACTATCTACCGATTAACACAATGAAAACACAAATGTGCATTATTTTAAGATTATATTATACAATGTAAAATCAAATTTGTACAGAATCAAAATCACATTCTTGTTAATTGTTCCATTCTAGTATTCTCCTTCTTTGAATACCTTCATCCTATACCAATCAAAGGAGAATTGATAGAAAATCAAAATAAGAATTATTATCAAATCTCATTGCAACGAATAGTTAGATTAAACAAATTATTAACATAAATAATACAATTATTATTTTTAACATCATCATTCACAACATCAACATCATCCTCATTATCATGATAATATTCATCATTCTCATATACTTCATCATCATCATCATCATCATCATCATCATCATCATCATCATCATCATCATCATCATCATCATCATCATCATCATCATCATCATCATCATCATCATCATCATCATCATCATCATCATCATCATCATCATCATCATCATCATCACAAACCTTATCATATACATAATCTTCTTCATCCGCCTCATCATCTTCATCATCGTCACCGTTACAATGCTCATGATATCCATAATCTACTTTATTCGCTTCATTATATTCTTCATCTTCCGCTTTATGTTCACCATCATCATCATCCTTATCTTCACACAAATCTTATAACATCCATAATCTTCATCATTCACTTCATTATTATTATTTTTATTATTATTTATATTATTATTATTATCATCATCATCACAAACCTTATCATATCTATAGTTTTCGTCATCCACTTCATCATTTATTATATCATCGTCATCATCATCATCACAAACCTTATCATATCCATAATCTTCATCATCCGCTTCATCATTTTCATCATTATCTTCGTTATAAAACTCATGATATCCAAAATCTTCATCAACCGCTTCATCATTATCATCCTCAACATCATCATCATCATCATCAATATCATCATCATCATTATCATCATCACAAACATTATCATAACGATAGTATTCATCATCCACTTCATCATCTGCAATAGCATCATTATCATCTTTATCATCATCATCGTTACAAACCTCATCGTATCGAAAATATTCATCATCCACTTCATCATCATCATCATCATCACCGTTACAAAGCTCATGATATTCATAATCTTCATCAACCGCTTCATCATTATCATACTCATCAACATCATCATCGTCATCATCATCATCATCACAAACCTTATCATATCCATAGTCTTCATCATCCACTTCATCATTTTCATCATCATCATCGTTACAAAGCTCATGATATCCATAATCTTCATCAACCGCTCTATCATCTCCGCCATTATCATCATCAACATCGTCACACAACTCATCATGTAAATAATCTTCATCATACGCTTCATGCTCTTCATCATCATCATCATCATCATCATCATCATCGTCACAAAGCTCATGATATCCATAATCTTCATCAACCGCTCTATCATCTCCGCCATTATCATCATCAACATCGTCACACAACTCATCATGTAAATAATCTTCATCATACGCTTCATGCTCTTCATCATCATCATCATCATCATCATCATCATCATCGTCACAAAGCTCATGATATCCATAATCTTCATCAACCGCTCTATCATCTCCGCCATTATCATCATCAACATCGTCACACAACTCATCATGTAAATAATCTTCATCATACGCTTCATGCTCTTCATCATCATCATCATCATCATCATCATCATCAACAACAACATCATCATCATTATCATTATCATCAGCATCATCAGCAGCAGCATCAGCAGCATCGTTATAATCATCAACTTTTAACAGAATATATTTTAATATCTCTATAAGTGATATTATCACCAGTGTGAAGAACATATTTAACGTGATATGTGGAATAATTTCCTCAATCATTGACCAAAATAGTGCCAGCATAACTGAAAGAATAATATTGAATTTGATGAACTGCATAATTGTAATATTTTCGATGAGATCGGAAAAAGAAAAATAACAATCGTCCATCGGCTGTCCTACGCTCAACTGATTTTTCTAACTGTTGCATGCTAATTAATACATTCAACTTACATTTGAATTTACACGATCAATACGATTGAATTGAATGCTAATCAATTAGCTGTATATTGATTGATCGATAGACCTTTGGTTTAGTCTGTAAATATGATGATAAAAATAATGCGACAAACAATGGTCAGACGTGTAATTAGAGTTAATTTGTATGCGATTCCTGTTGGTGTTTCTGTGCTTTATTCCAAATCTCCACTATTCATATATTGGCAAACAATCTGACTAGTAGCACTTATCATCACACGCAGCTATCAAATTTTTAAGCAAAGCATCACATTCTTCTTTGGAAGCTAATAATCACGTTTACACTTTCAGCCTTCCCGAAAATTCCAAATCTAGTATTGACTATTCTGTTTCATTTATGTAAATTTTATAGGGAATGTTTAAACTGAAATCACCGGTAGAATACTTCCTGCTGTAATATACTACTTTTAGATCATATGATTAGGGTTGTGGAATTAGTGTAGCTCCTGTTGACACCGCTTTATCTCCAAGATCAATAATGCTTCGACTTTTGTTGTAGGCATCAAAAATCAACCTGAACATCATCACAGGGGAAGATATTTTCGAATATTCTGTTTTCTGGAGATTCTTGATAGATCTCACTGACTATTTCTATCAGTTATTGTGAACACTCTGTGTAAGCTTATATCCCTCACATTGACGATAGTCTATAGAAACTCATTCTTCATCCTTCATTATTATGAAGAGAATTGTAATCTATGTCAGACTTCAGCGTCTTCATCTGAGATGTAATATTTTCAATAAGAAAATTTTCCGAACATTCTGAGATACTGTGTGATTCCTCATTGAATAGTACACCTGACCTAGATCACTTTTACCTAATACTTCCAATTGAAACGATATGCAATATAGTAAAATATGTCAAATAGACCATCTCGTACTCCGATGATAAAACATAATCTATATTCCATTGGATAGGTTGCTTTTCATGAAACCACTTTTGGTTATGCCTGTTTTTTTTTCTTTTTGTAATTAGTTTCCTTACTATTTGCACTTTCCATCAATTCAATACAATTTGTACAATGACCATTTTTGCCTGTAAAATTGTCGTTTAAAAAGCATAACCTTTCACCATTTGTTCCTGTTCGTGAACATACATAGCATGACCCATTAATTATCACACACAAATTTCCTGCTGCACACGTGAACTGTAGTAGTTTCTGAACAGACCAATCTATTCATTCTTCTCAAATCACATATTTTGGCCTTGTCACTTATTGGCTTATTAACTCTGACTGTTTTGATATGATCGTATGTGTGTGTGTGTTGATCGCTTATCCTATTCATCATATGTTGTTACTTATTTTAGGTGTGACATAAAAATTGAGTAACGCTTGATTAGGTTGAGTTGGCACACTTGACTTCTCCGATCAGTTCGGTTTCGTTCTATTCTCTTGACCTCCTTCACTGTGATTATCTGATGCTGTCTTCCAATCATCAGTAATAAGGATAGGAGGTGTATTGACATTTAGCCATTAATCATTGCAGCTTGTAACACTGTGGTAGTTAAATCTCGTTCCAGCATATCCACCTCATATTTGAAAGAAGGACTCGCTGCTTGAATCTGTAGCACACGCCACACTGTGACTGTATTCAGTCTAACCAGTTGTTGTGTACAGCCTTAATGAAGGCAATTAAAATAGGGTACCGTGAAATTTACGAGTTTCGTAGATGCACACACAAACGATAACTGCTTTGTAGATAGGTTTTCCATACTTTGCTTAAGCATACTTGATTCAGGTGTGTTGTTGCTTTTCTCTCAGCTCCCATAAATACACAGGAGGAGAGTGTTGCACAACCACATCGTATGTAATTCTGTTCGATTTCCCATTATATTGTGTGTCATTTATGTATCTTTTATATGAATACAGAATAACGTTATAATTTCAGAAGTAGTATTCCTTACTATAAGATTGTTTCGATAATGTAATAAGAAGACGAAGATTATCAGAACTATGTGATAGTATATTAGCGCAATACATTTCGAACAATCTGATCACACATCATATAGTTGTTAGGACGATTTATATATAAAAAGTAGAAGGTCAACTAGACTGGGAATGGAGGGGGAGAGTAAGAGTAGACAAGGATAATAATGATAAAAATAATGTGAAAACAATTTGACACCTAGTCACTCTGGATAATAAACATATATTACCAGGATAGGTTTAAGGAGAGAACAAACTGCTAAATGCAGTGGGATGTGACACAATCGTTTTCATGTCGTCTAGGTTTTGAATGAAGCATGGACTTCGTTCCTTCTTTGATTATGACCTTCGCTGAACAATACGTTTTGTTGATGACAGACAGAATTAAGCCTTTGTTTCAATGAAAGGCTATTTGAATCACCTCTAAATGGTAAGGTGATGTAGATAGGTTTTTTCTCTACCAAGACTACAGTAGGTCTCACTGTGTCCTGAACATTCCATCCATTGATAAGAATGGTAAATCGTATAATAATAGTTCATAAATCAAAATAAAGCTTATGATAAGAGGGACATGAATATGAATAGTTTAGTTACTTAACAATTCTATGATAGGAAATATACATATCATATCGGTCCACAAAAAGAGTTCTCCGAGTTACCATTCATGAATCTCCACGGGATATAACACAAAGATTTACTTCAACATGAAAAGTGTTTTTTTTTTGTTTTTCTTTTCTCATTAAGATGATCGTATTTGATAGAAGTAAATTAGCAATATAAAAGATGAAGACCATGGATACAGATTAAACACATATTAGAAAATGTACGTTTTATTTACATTTAAAGAATAGAAAAGATTTCAATCTGATTACCACATGATATTCATGAATCAATAACTTAATCTATATACACAATTTATTATATCATAAGATTAAAGTCCTATTGGATAAAATATATATGATGGAACACAGATTATTTGTGAAATAAATACACTTAGTCTTTAATCTTTCATTTACATCTATTTTGTGTTCTACAACTCAATCTAGTTGTAGACTGTTTTCTATATCGCTTCACATATGGTTTCATGAGTATTCTGAATTCTCTTGTGCTTTTGGTTTTTTAGACTCTTGTCTTCAGCTGTTAGTTACAGTAACTCCCGAGAATTTGGGAGATGTTACTGTGTTCTATGAGTTGGTTGATTTAACTATAAAGATTTCACTGTCTTTCACAACAACACTATCAACATGTAATTGAATAATAATAATTCATCATGTGAACTTCACTATTAATTCATTCATTTCAGAGAATACAATAACACCTTCAAAATAAAGTACACATTATGTACAGAATACGTGGGAACGTTACAATATGCCCTTGTACTGAACCGTCCTTTTTTCTTCAAATATACAACGTCACTTTATCTGTATTAAACAAAAGAATTTTTCACAGAAAACAATAATATATGTTTATGAGAGAGAGAAAAAAGATAGTTCATTTTATAATAAGAATATAAGACATAAGTAAAGGGGGACGCAGTAATAATAATAATAATAATAATAATAATAGAATGATAGTAATAATATTAAGGCCATAGTAACGATAACGATAAGATATACTCCTTTTGTACTCATAGTTCTGGTTTAAGCTCATAGATGGTAAGAGCTTCGGTTTCTTTCAGGAGTTGGATACGAAGAAATCTAGGTAGATTTGAATGAATCATATTAACAACCTTAAAATCAGACTGTAGATCCGTAGAATGAATACAGTCGATCAGATGTTCAAGTATAGAACTCCTAACTGCTTTCCTTTCATTCTTTTAGAACCAAACTGGGATATGTTCTCGTATCCGAGTTGAAAGCGAGCGCTGGCTACAGCCAATGTACCTTGCTCTAGAAGAGCAGGTGGACTGGTAGATGCACATAGAAGCGACCAGACGCGGAAGCTTATCTTTTATGGATACAGAAAATAAGTTCTTACTAGTGAAGGTTATTAGCAGTTTAGCCGCATTAAATGTCCTTTTAATCGTTGCTGTTAGGCGATTTTTGATTACGTCTGATGTTCGATCACCTTTAAATTCCAGACTTATATAAAGGTTTCTCTTTGGGACGCAACAACTAGGTTTTCTGTCGAAACTACTTCTATTCATATTCTTCTCTATGAAACGGTCTGGGTAGTCATTTTTCATCAAGGTTTTCTTGAGAAACATGAGTTCTTCGTTAATGCATTCCGTCCTACATATCCAATGTATATGATAACATAAAGAATGAATCAGGTTTCTCTTTCTACTTAACGGAACTCAGCTATAGAAGTTGGTTAGTTGACCATTCCATGTTTGTTTTCTAAAGATGAAAGCTCTTACTATCCATGAGCTCAAACCACAACTATGCGTACAAAAGAAGTACATTTTATCGTTATCGTTACCATGGCGTTAAAATTATTATTATTTATTGTGTAAAAACAGATAATAGTTTTATAATTATGAAACATTTATTTTTAGAAATGTCTAATCGACAATTATAGAAGGGGTTTTGTGGAGATTTAGTATTTATCATAGTTGAAAGCGTGAGTCAATTGAAGCCAGACTACCATGGAAAACCTGGAAACACTGGAAGGCCGTTTCGTCCTATCATGGGACTCCTCCAGTGGAGTTCAAAACCACGTCTATTATGAGATAGGAACTCACTGAAGACAATTGGTGAATGGTTGCTCAACTTCGTGGATCAGTTGAAGTTAGACATTAACACCGTTGGATGCCAGCCGACTCAGTGGTCTATCGGTTAAGGGCTTCGGCTCCAGACTGGTAGGTCTCGCGAGAGCGGATTCGTGGATGCGCACTGCTGAGGAGTCCCATAATAGGACGAAACGGCCGTTCAGTGTTTCCAGGTTTTTCATGGTGGTCTAGCTTCAATTGACTCACGCTTTCAACTATAATTGACAATTAAAACCAAATTACAATTCAATCTATTCATATATGAAAAAAAGAATATGAATGTGTTCTATATATAAATAAACAAAATAATCAATATGTTTTTATAATTGAATGTTATATAATGAATAGATTCAAGAGAGAGAAAGACACACACACACAGAGGGAGGGAGATAGGAACACCCAGCAACATAAACATTAATAATTAAATTTTGTTTGTGAATAACAACAAAATACTAATTGAGAAGAAGAAGAATTGAAATTAGGGTTACTATTATGGAGAATAGTAAATATAACTTTAATCTTATTTAATGCTGAGGAGTCCGACAATAAGATGAAACGGCCATCCAGTGCTTCCAGGTTTCTCATGGTGGTCTAGCTTCAATTGACTCATAATTTCAACTATATAAAATTACTAAAATCTCTACAAAACCCCCTTCTGACAATTATTTAATATTCGTCAATTAGATAGATGAATAATTGATTTAAGCTTAAGTGAGGATAATAAAATATAAAAACGGAGACAACAGTTGATTGGAAGACAATAACTATTCTGATGATAAAAACTTGAAAAGATTTTTGTCATAATTGATAAGAAACATTTTACATAATCCCTACAGAAGGATTTCGAAGTCCTTTGAAATCAGTATAATACTTAGAAATCAACACTAACATATTATATCATTATATGTAAAATGAAAGATATTACAGTTAATGCAATGCTTTATGGTGTAGGAGCAGGTTGGAAGAAAGCTAGGGGCGGCCAGACCAAAACATGGCATAAATCCATGAAGTCGCTGACAAGTGGACTGGGTCGTGTTGGTAGGTGTAGACTACCTGGTTGGGATTCGCGAGATTTATTTATTTATTTCAACACATAAATAATCTTCTGAATTCTTCATGTCCGTATCCTTTTTCTCTTTCCAAATTTATTTCACCGTATTATACTCCTTCAATAACATCTTCAATCCCTTATCTTTCACATAATACTTATACTCTTAATACTTCTACCAATATGGTATTTGAATCGACAACTTCATCTCTGTGCTAATGTGGTATGGCAACTCGAACTGATGTACGTACGTACGAAGTTCTACGTTGTAACTGACTGACTGACAGTGAATGAAAATAACCCCAACATTGTCTACGAAATAAATAGAACCAAGTGTGAGATTCACTACATTGAATAAAGTAAATATATCCGTCACATACTGTTATAACTTGTGGCCTGGATACCCTGTTAATGTATAACGTGATAATACCTCCAATTAGAGAGCAGAGATTTATCGATCGGACCAGTGATGCATAAAACCCGTGCGAGCATTCTACAGTACTAATCGATCTTTATTCCTGTCTAACCCTGCCTGTTAAGTCCAGAATACCGATCTCAGCCTCTGAGATATGAATACTTTATTTCAAAAATACGGGGTTTATATACCAAACAAACAGACCACATCGTACCATAAAATAGGAAACAACATTTGTACAAGATTTAGCTAAAAGTGGATATGAATTTGGGATAGACTGGGCATAACTCAAGAATGGTAAATTGTATAATAATAGTTCATAGGTCATAATAAAGTTCATAATAAGAGGGACATGAATAGGAATAGTTTAGTTATTTAACAATTATACGATAAAAATATACGCGTAGTATTGGCCCATAAACGGATCGCAAAAGTTACCATTCATTATTTTTATGGGGACATAACACATACGTATATACAACCCCAAATTATAAGTGAAGTATCACTGTACGTCATCACTTATATCGAAACACATAAGTTACTACAGAAAGTGCCTTGATTATGGAACAAAAAAACCTTCAAAATGTAAGAAATTCTACAACTATAGTCTGCAAGGAAAAGCGTTATTAACATAGATTTGGTCTATCGATACGCTATTATAAAGTCAATCAACTTTATAGACAGTGGCCAATGTAGTGAAAACATCCATTAAAGGTTCACAGTAGATGAAAAATACGAAAACAACTAATCATATATAAGCTCAACAGAATAGACCGACCTGATATTCATGGAATTATTCTACAAAGTTCATCTCTACCGGATTTAGACATTCACAGTATTGTCCAAAATAACAACGAAGTTTTAATAATTAAGCTGCTTAGCTTGTAGAAACCGACTCCTCTATAATTCATTATACTTATCAATTGTAGGAAATTTTAAGTCTTTAGCTTAGCCTGAACAGATCAATAATGTTGTAGTTTGAGAGTAGCATACTCTCTTGAGAGTTGATTTTAGAAAAAGATATCCAGATGTACATATTCAATTTAGAGTACATAAAATCCTTGAGATAATTTATTTATATATCGGAAAAAACTACTGAAGATTATCTCAAAGTCTATAAATCCTATGCCAATACTCTGTATACATTCAAAGTATCCGCTTAATTCAATTATCTAAGAAAGCTATAAATTGTTACATAACTTCATTATAAATTTTATGAAAACAAATGCTTATTTTAAATTCACTTAGTATTACTTGTTTGAATCTTCTCATTGATGTTTAGGACTACAACTGGTCAGTCTCTAATTGGCATATGTGCATACTGTGCGGATTGCCTCGATATAGCCTAAATTCACAAGCATTACAAGCAAAGATGGATAGTGACTTATTTTTATAGAATCAACTTTCTATTCATTCTAGATGATCTTATACGTTTGTGGTCGAAAACTTATAACTAACTTTTCAACCCAGATATAGAAAGAGGAAGCACATTAGAATTTAGATTTGAGAGAAAATGATAACCATTAATATAGGGTTGTGGGGATTGTTGAGTTTAACTTGATATAATTAGTGGATCAATGTTACAGCATCGTTAAAAACCTAGAAGCACTGGACGGTTGTCTTATCCTAGTATGGGACTCCTCAGCATTACGTTTACTGGTCTAGAGGTTAAATGTTCGCGTGCGAGACTGAAGGTGGAGGATTCAAGTTCACGTGAATGCACACTAGTGAGCAGTCCCATACTAAGATGAAACAGCTGTCCAATTATTCCAGGTTTTCAATGATGTTCTAACATTTATCCATTTATGATGTCTATCTAAAATGAGAATAGTTCAAAGTTGAATTTCTTCAAGGATTGATATACTACCAACCAAATAATCACTAGAAACTAGGGAACGCAGACAAATGTTTAGTTTTTGATTCACAGAAATCTATGTATATCTCCCAAACTAACTTCCAAAAATGATTCAGGAGTATGAATTCATTTGATAATGCCTTGAAATTTAGTAGTAATTAATAACTGAAATTACACTTCACTGAATGTATCATGCTTTTAAATATACATATTCTTGATCACTCTGAAGTATAATTTCGTGAAACTTGGCTGATTGTCTTTACTCAAAGACACTTATCCTCCTTCCATAACTCACCCAAAGAGGTAAGAAAATTGAGCAATCAAGAAATGTTAAGTTTTTAACAAACTTTCAGTTTCTTTTCTAATGAATTTAATAAAATGAGTTGTCAGCTTATTATTTTTGATGTTTCAATTTTAGTTATGCACCAAATATAGAAATTATTCATATATTATTCAAACCCATTAGGTATTAAATATGTAGTGACCTGCTTTTCTCGATGAGAACACGATTGGAATAATGGAAACAATTATTATGATAACCAATTGTATCAGTGATTGTTTTACTGTACTTGTTGTTGTTTAACTGTATTAAAGTCACTTCTCGTTCCGCTATCCATCTTGTTGGTTCGAACTTTCTTACGCTCTGCTTTTATTGCCTGTAATCTTTGGTACGTCTTAATATTTATTCGATACTACGAAATTGCCAATAAATATACTCTATCTGGACCAGTTACAGTCGTCTGGTTTGCAAGTTATCAAAGGGACCAAGTTGTTTTTGGGCACGTAATCTCATTATAGTGGTGATCATAGTCAAACGCGACTGGACGCCATTTACAAATATATACATATCTGATTGGCTTCTTCAACTATTAGTGTCCACCGAAATCTCATATGAAATAACGACTAGTTAGTATTGTTAGCAATCAATCAATAAGATATCCTCTGACTTGACCAAAAATGTACTCTAGTAGTCGTCAAGAATGAACCAACACGTCGAGGCTATAAAGACGTTGTGAATATATTTGAATATGTATGGAGCATTTTATAGTATGCAAAGCTTTATTTATAAACTTTACTATGTCGGTCTTCATCAACAATAAACTTATTTCCTAATTAAATCAATGCAATGAATATTTGAGGCTATTGGCAAGGAATGATAAGTTTTCTTTCAATTAATCTTTCCATGTTCACTAGAATGGAATTTTTCGAAAGAAATCTCACTTAAGATTCATTGTTAACGTCGTATGGTAATGCCATAAGAGAGAGATCACATATGTAATGTGACTGATTACATTTTCAAAACTACATCACATATTTTAGACGATAACTTAGTAACTAATTGACTATACTATTCGTATTTATATGATACTATAAAGTAAATTAAGACAGCTTTAAATGAACTTCTGAAACTCCGATCATTTGCATACCTAGTTACATAGAATTGTAGTGTGAGCCATTTGTTCATCACTTGACCAGCATGGATTCGACTTCATGTAGAATCGTAGGGTATAAAGAATAAAGTGTCTAATCAGTTTTCACTGGCTTTCAGAGTAGTGATTCGTCAGTTGATCTAATGCAGTCAGTTATCACGGTTATCCATTGAAATGAGCAATAAATTCACAGATCCACTATTTTAATGAGTTAAACCATTTTGTAGTTTACAATTACCCTCCCTAACTGTACTCCAAAGATATATCTCTATGGATTGATATACAATCTGATAATTAACCAGATCTTAATTTGATACAAAAGAATCTTGTTAAGAATGATGAAGGTAATACGAAATTAAATGTACCACATCATAAAACTCATGTCATTCACTGCATATTTTTATATTTAACAGACTGGATAGAATTATTTATGTTACGTCCCTGATTTGTCTACCCACTTTCGTGCCGAGCATAACTTGTCTAGTGTAGATTAAGACCTTGGCGCGGTAGGCTGACTGGCTTTAACCTTGCGGCTAGTATGCGTGAGTTCAAAGTAGGGGTAGAAAGACGAAAACTATTTTATCCCTGATTGACTGACGAGCACGCGCGAGAGAGAAGATAAGACAACTGGAACACTACTCGCTTTATTCCAATCCCGATCTGGTACCCGAATTCCAAATTCAGATTAGTGCAAAAAGATACATGAATAAATAGATGACTAACCTGACCACAACGTACAATAATTAGGAAAATACAATTATGTCCAAAACTGGAGGATTAGAGTAGAAAATAAAGTACAAAAGATCACGTCTAAATTACAGTAGCTTTGGAACAGAAAAGATTATGGCAGTGAACCATACATCAAACGAAAGCTTATGATCTGTAGAATAGACTACGGGCAAAACTAAATGTTACTGTTATACAAGCCTTGAATTAAATGAGATAAAGTCCCAAACAATAGCTTCCGTAGTTTGTTAAGGCTTCTTGTTTCACTGTTCACATCAATTTATTTGTCTTTGACTTATTACTATTTATACAAAAGAATATGACATTCCCATCATTTTTTTAAATACTTTAATCTACATTAACTAATACAAAACTAAACAGCTGTTGAAATACAGTTGAATACGTCTAAAAGAATACTAATTAGGATCCACACATCGTTTTCACTACGAATATGATTATCATATGATTTCATGTTTCACATCTACTCGAAGCCCAATTACTATGGAACTATTCAATTTAATTTAGACGAAAGTTCCTATATGATTGATATATTCTGATTGCTTACAAATAATAATCGAATTCCAGTGCATAAGTGTCATCAATAATAATGTTAGACAATTCTATGGCAAAATGGGACATGATTTATACATTTCTAAGCTTTTGTATATCTGTTACCTCCACTAAGAGTATATATAATCATTCGGTTAAGTGCTCGCGCGCGAGACTGGTAGGTCCTAGGTTCGAATCTCGCGAGGCAGGATCGTGGATGCGCACTACTGAAGAGTCTCACAATAGAACGAAACGGCCGTCCGGTGTTTCCAGGTTTTCTATGGTGGTCTAGCTTCAATTGACTCATGATTTCAACTATATATAAAAAACATTCATTTGATTATTTATCTTTTCAACCATGTCTGTCTAGCAACGAAAAACTGACCTTGAGTAGAAAAAAAAACTATTTTTAATGGTGTAATGAATAATCAGTTTTTGAAATTGATCAAGCAAATACAACTCACTAGTTGTTGTGTACTAAGACGATGTTTTTTTATTTGTTCGTTTACTCACCTATTGGCCTCATTTTAATTATGTGATAAACTATTAAATCACTTGACGTGACGTGACTAAAATGTAGATCAATATTTTGACTAGTAAGTTATAACTTCCTTCTTTTTCAAGTCTCAGCCCATGCTGTAAGTGTAGACTAAAAGTTATTTGTAGTTGTCAGATAAACATGTGATTGAATTGACAGATCACGAGTTGTCCTCTTTACAGTAGTGTAACTAGGTGAGACATAAATTAATGACGTATGAGGTAGAAGCCATTAGTTTTCATTATTTATTAGTCTGATTTAACGTAATCTATACCAGAATAATGCATCCCTTCACCAGATTACCTGTGAATAACCTGTACAAACAAAGAATGTACCCAACTCTATTCAAACATTGTTAGCTTATTGGAAGAGATTGGCTTTTTATGAGACTGAGATAACGGCTCAATTAGTTCAGTGATTACAGTTCAAACTATGGGACTAGGTAATTTAAGTCAACATTTCACAAAGAAAATTGTTTCCCTCAAAATTATAAGTACACTATGCTGACAAATGTTAACTAGCACGGAAACTAAGTCTGAAGTTTTCTGACAAACCATCTAAGACTAAAACATACTGTCGAGACATTTCAAATAGTGGTCACATAGCATCATGGCCAGCGGAAGTCAATCAGCGTCAAAGATTAGACAAACATTAAATTGGTCACTATTTAATGATTAACTAATGTAAATATTGTCAGCTATGGGCGATTTTACATAACCAAAACTTAAGATGTTAATTTTAGGTTCATTTTATTTTGTATTCTGGTGAATAATAATCTCAGCATATTACAGTAATATTCAAATGTATTTCAATTTTCTGTTTGCTCATTATATTAACACTGTCCTATCAATTACAATGTGAAGTTATTCAAAGATAGGAAAGAGAACTATCGATCATACTGCTTTTTAGTGCACTCACTGTTGAAATCAACAGTGAAAATACTACATTCACCACAAAACCCCCTCTGATCTATAATCATATGCTCACTAGTGACTAACTTCAAGAGATATTTCCTTGAGTTCTAGTGGGAAGCAGTGGCCAGTGGAGTTCTACCAGGTCTGTTGTAGAGATATCAACTCACTGAAGACAATTGGTGAACGGTCGCTCAAAATCGTGGATTGGTTGAAGTTAGACATTAATACCGTTGGATGCCGACTCAGTGGTCTATCGGTTAAGTGCTTCGGCGCGAAGCTGGTAGGTCCTGGGTCCGAATCTCGCGGGTGCGGGATCGTGGATGCGCACTGCTGAGGAGTCTCATAGTAGGACGAAACGGCCGTCCAGTGCTTCCAGGTTTCCCATGGTGGTCTAGCTTTAATAACGTTAATCAATAATGGAATAAAATAAGTCAAATACGAGAGTACTCGAGAAACATATATTTAATGAAATCCATTAGTTCATAGACAAGAGATGCGAATCACAGTAGGTAAACAGGCCTACTCAAAATACTACTTATTACACATAATAACATAAATCAAAGTAGATAACGCATAATGCGACAAGGAGACAGGCATTGGATGAGATAACAAGAGAGAAACATAAAAAATAAAGTTATAAGGAGGGTTAAAAATAATCCAGTAATCGCATCCTGTCTAAGTGACTAATATCCGTCCAAAAAGTGGAATGAACTCACATACAAGTGCTACAATGGTGAAGCTTGATGTTCTTCCCGTTTTTCCAATACTCCTGAAATCCTTGCTATTATGTAAACGGATACTTAAACTATGCATATGAAAGAAGTTTACTGAACATGCCTCGATCATATAAGGTTATAATAGTCAGTTGTACAGATCAACTGTGCGTCATCTTCATGTTGTTAAATATTTTTACATCAAATCAGTTCTTTTAAATTTCCATGTTTTCAATAATAACTCATCTGCATTTGTTATTTGAATCTTCCAATTGATATTAAGGAATACAACTGATCAGTCACATATTGGCATATGTACATCCTGATAGCATTGCATCGATATTCCCAGTAAATCATAAGCAGAGATGGATGGTAGTGGTGAGTTGTAGGATCCAGGACGCGTGTTTCGTTTTATTTGGGACTTGCCAACCGAATCCATTTGCAGTCCATAGTTGATTTTCACTACCGGACTCCAATCAAGTACCATTCGCTTTAAATGCCATCACGCTAATCACTTAGCCACTGGCTTGTGCAATGGGGTGAAGTTTAGTTCAATTATATTGGTTATTTGGATGTTCCATTTAATGTTTAGGACTAAAACTGATCAGCAACTCATGTGGGTATGTGCATCCTGCCCCAAATAGGACGAAACGCGCGTCCTAGGTTCCACGGCTAGTTATCATCCATCTTAATGATAGTTCATTCTTTCAAAATTTAATTCACTAAATTAGTTTATCAACTTTTAAAATAATTAATCAATTAACCCGGATACCATTTTGATTGTCATTGTTTCATTTATAAACCATAAAATTTCGGTACAAAAGAATGAGCTATACAAAATGGAACGAAAATATTATGAAAACAAAGGTGAATGTTAAGGTCATATGATCAATAAGTAATCAACAATATTATTTTTAATGAAAGACATTCCAATCAGAAATTATGATGAAGAATGTAATGTTTGGCAAGATTAGCTACTAAGTGGAATAATCTGAAGAACACTAACCAGGAAGTCATAACAGACTAAAAGATGCAAGTTACATAAACCTATCGTTCGTTCAGTAGCACTACTTAATAATTGATTAACCCCTTCACTTTTTTCATCCATTTGCAAAGTTAGTAAATAATAAAAATTGTGGAAACCATCTGGATGACATTCCGGAAATCTGTTTGCGTATTAAGGTTGTGACATAAATTGAATTGTCATGACTGTCTTTGCAGAACCGAACCGTTACTTACACATTCTTACCAATGTATATAAGCAACAGTTCGGTGATAACAATGATCGAGCTCTGAGTCAGAGAATATCCTTAGCTCAGCTTTCACAAACAGTGCAGAACTGCTTTCACCAACCCGCTATATATAGAACTTTCTACATTTTGATTAAAGTCAAGATATCGATTATCCACATACTAATTATTAGCTAGCATAAATAAACGAAATTGATTCTCAGATAATACAATTCAAAGTATGAATCAATTTAAAGTTTACTCCCTATTAACCAAAATATTTGTTTAAGAAATGTTTGAAGTTCATTATTCGCGTCAATATCTAAAGTTTGAAACTTGTCAGGTTCCTATGATAATATCACTTCAAAAGTTCTCAAAAAAGAGTTGAGTTAGTTTTGTAAATTATTACACTATTACTTATTATTTAAACACATTAACATTGGTACAAGGAAGCATCAAATACATATGCGGCACATAAATCATTCGATTTTTGTGAGGGCTGGGATACTGTCCGGGTGCCTAAACCGAAACGGGTGGTTTTCTTAGGGGGCCACACCCGGAGCCTTTGACCTAAAGGTCTGATTCACAAGGCAGTGGAGCATCGTAAGGAGATGCAGTCCCATGGTAGCCGTTGACCAACAACTGGTTCATACGCCATTTGTTCCTTCAGGGTACTGGAGCCCATATTCACCATCAGTTTGGAATCAGGGTTTCCCAACTCCCCTAGGTGGACTCGCCGTGTCAACCAACCCGGTTAAATCGCCGGACATTCGCTTTTCGTCCTCCGAATTTCGTAAACAACAGTCGTGCCACGAGAATACAGTGGGTAGAACTTCACTGGCAGAGGCTATATACGCGTGGCCATGTGAGAGCATTTGGAGAGGGAGAGCGGACTCTCCCCACTCTCGGCCGTACCAGGGCATTTGGAGGGCAACTGACTGTTGAAAGTTTGATAAAGCAAATGAGATCCAAAGGTTGACGTAGTTCTTAAAGAAATTGGATATAATTTTTTTTCATAAAATAGTTTAAAATAATTAATATGCATTCTGTATACACATTATTATTCTTTTTAATCATTTCAAATATATTGGTTGAGTTAATATATATTGACTACAATATGGAATTCTCACCATGCAATATTTGAACTAAGTTACTCTTACTCTCCGTAAACGCTTTAGAATATTTATATTTGCATAAATAGGTATGATAAGTAAATAAAATTACGTAACATTAAATGATATCTATGAAAGAAAATAAGAATCTTCACAACAGATTCAAGAGTATACGTTTTTGATTAGGTCAGCTTTTACAGCCTGTTCGTCGTATAGAAGATACGCTAAACAGTGTTGTAGAACTTATGCACTTCTATTTCCATCCATACATTCTAAAGTATCGGATAAGATAACACTTGCCAAGAGTTGAAAAGATTTCAAATATCTATCCACAACCATATTTAATAATGACATCAAAAGATTCATTACACACCTTAACAACTGTCTTCTTAAAAAAACTAACAAAACTTTTTTCTTAAATATTGAGGAAACAATAATGAGGAACAGGAAAAAGGTAATTGGTAATACAAGAGGATTTACAAACCGTAAAAGTAAATATTGAATAATGGCAAAGACATTTAGCCTCTTTAGAAAATAAGTCAAACGAAAAACTTCCTTCAGTATTAACAAAACATGAGGACTAACAAAAGATCAGAAGAAGAACTTAAACCGAGATAAATGATGTTTGATATGGTTTTTACTACCTGATCTTCACTGGTACCAATTTCACGTGATCCAACAACGCGATTGAGTGCTGCGTATGTCTTACGCCAAAGTTGACAGCTAGATATTTAGGATTTAGTGTAAGACCATTGTTCAATGAGCGACAAGAGCTTCTTCATTTCAAGAGGATCCAAAAAGGAAGAAACTGGCGTACATCGTCCTCATTCTTCATGTATTTTGTAGAAGATAGAAGACCACGTAGAAAACGGAAAGGGGAAAAACAGCTCCTTGTGACACGCTAGGTTGAATATTTACCGCTATGGAAATTATTTTCTCTTCCAGAGAAGTATGGACACAAACATTTAGTTATCTAGCTCTCAGTATTAACGATAGCAAACGTGATTAATGTCAATGGTCTTGGAACGGAATCAAAGGCAGAGGTGTAATCTAGAAATCCACATCTAATATACTTCACACCCTTGTCTAAACTGATAATTATATTATGGTCCGAAACAACTGTAACATTTAAGTACTTCGTTCATATTTATACCTAAAATTACGTGGATCAGTAAGCTTCTTTAACTCCGACTGAAGCGGGAAGATATGCAGAATTTTACTACTTATGTTACTACTGTCAATAAATGATAGCGCAAATACGGCATAAATGAGTTGTCCGGACATCAGTACACCTTTTGGTATACTTAGCATGTGACTAGTAATGGAATCAAGAACGCACGTTTCTTCCGGTTTAGCACTTAACAGCTAGATTTATCTGAATATTTCATTTTCAATGTTTATATTGATACTCGAAACCAGCATCTATCGCTTTAAACATCCACTGAGCTACTGACCACAGATAGCCACTAACTTGTTAAACAGGTATGAAGGTGATATAAAGTCAAATCGCTCAAAATGTATATATGAAAAGGGGGACTGATCAATTGAAATCTTGAATATCAACGAAAGGAAATTACAAACTCTTACTGATATTAATGTACTGTGTTCTGATAATACATGAACGTTAAAAAAACTATAAGTGTTGAATGGACTAGATTTAAATTATATAATACATATGTAACCATCAACTGAATGTAGCCAAGATTCATTAAATAACCAGTCGATCATTCAAGTTAATCATTTGATGAAATTAAAATATCTCCAACCACTACCACCTTTCATATACAACACTACATTAAAACAACTTTAAGAATTGAAGTATTTTCTAAAATAACCAGTATAATAGCCAAGTTGATTGTCAGGTTGTTACCCGTTAGTGGAACTGAGTGTTGCATAATATTGCAAATTGATTGAAGCGTTAAACAAGTAAACTATTGAATTTCAGTTTAGTGGTTCTAATTGTTAAACGTTCGCTACAAGAGCTCAAAATATCTACCTGGTTTTAATCATTGGGAGAGCAAAACAAGCAAACCAGTGCTTTCCGATTTTTAATGGTTTTGTCTAACGAAGACTAGCCCGTGTTGAAAACAATAAAAAAGATGCCAAGTCACTAACTATAGAATCATTCGATAAAACATTGTAGACTTGATTGTTAAGATCTGCGTAATGACTAAGCGTGATAACTGGGAAATTTTATCTATATGTAATATAATAGTTGGGGATGTTATATTTCTATAAATCCCTTAGTAAACGTCTTATTCATGTAATTTTATTTTGGAAATTTGATTTCCTCATTTTTGTGCCGAAAGGGTCCAGTTTTACCTTCAGATTGTATTTCTCAATTGGAAGGACCTTAAATGTCATTAGTTTGTCTCTTCCATTAGCACGCTATTTTGTAAGGTTTTCCAAGGACATTTTCGTGCTGTGTATATATTCATGAGTTGTATGTTTGTTCGTTCGTGCTTCTGACTGCTTGTGGAATATATATTTCTCCTGGCTGAATCTGGTCTTGTTCCTTTAGTTAGCAGGGTTGAGGCGTAGTGAAATAGATTAGCCTGTCCTGTTATTGTGTTGCTGACTTCGTTCCGTTTCGCCAGTTCTAGGTGATATCATAATCTCTTCAGACGTAACAACAACAAAACCTTATGCATACATATATACACTTTGTGCTGTCCTAAAAACAATGACGAACTTGAACTTCTTAAAAGGCAAAACATAATTCAACGAATACCTTCAATCAATCCGCGATATTGTGTGACCATTTTCTAATTCCATTGGTGGATAACTACTTTCACTGTTGAAGAAACTTAAAACAATAACGAAACCATTGTCCAGTACTTTCTAGTTTAAAATGATTTTTCAGCTGGGATCAGTTCGTGATGTATACTTAAAAATTCGACAATCTCTACAGACCCTTTTACACCAGTTATTTAACGAATGAACTAGAGAAATAGGTGAAAATTATGGAAAAAATTGATAACATGAACTCATTAGCAAAGAATATAGCTCTTCAATATTTGATCAACAACATTGAGAATGCGTTCTTTTATTCGAGTAAGGAAGAATATGACTCGTTGAAGCACTATTTTTTTCTTGAAAAAGCAAACAAATACAACCATGTTTATTATTATTATTAGTAGTAGTATTACTATTATTACTATTATTATTATTATCATTATTATAAAAGTGATCAATAACGTATTATAGATAAGTGAAGAGGGGAAAACAGTGCAACAACTAAAAGTGATGAGGGCAATAAACTACCTTTTACATACACACACACATCAGTGATCATTATCATGTATTCAATGATTTTGATGATGATTGTGTGATTTTTTGTTCAATTAACGTCACAAAGTGTTGCTTTGGTGGTTGACTACATTTACCTAGAATTTGCTCCACCCATAATTGACGTTCACCCAGTGAATTAGACCATGTACCTTAAACAATATAGTATAGCACATATAAAGGTATTTTGTATACATAAATGTAACAAAATAATACCAATATACAACTAATCAAATAATACATAAAACGTTAAACAAACTTATCATTTGCCCATTAGAGCTAAGGTTTAATGAAAAAAATAGTCGTCAGTTGGCCAAGCATTTCAGCCTCGTTACGCTTACTGAGGTTTAAATAGTTATGTAGTACATAGTTCGTTATTTTTCGGAGTGTCCGGTTGAAAGATTTAAGTTTAACAAGCTAATATTACACTGATTCATAACCAATATAATATTTGTCCAGTCCTTGGTGCTGATTTTACGATACAGACCAAGTTGGAACATGATCACATGACCAAGTGACTGAACATCGTGGTTGGAGGTAATCTGTAAACAACTACCTCCAGACTCCGATTCCATGTAAGTTGGTTCGAAAAACACCGATGCAAGCAACACTACATTCACGATTGCAGATATACCTTTTTAACAAGTGTCGATAATGGGCTTGAAACTCGAATTAAGTACTCAGGTATAGATAAATGTAATTGGCTATGAACCATAATCTAAGTTTCAGTGTTAGTAATACTATCAGTTGCCCAAAACGAAGTTGGGGGAATAAGGTTCGAACCCAGGACTAATTGGTTGATGGTCGAACCCCTTGTCTACTGACTTACCTCTACAAACTGACTAAGACTTCCTCCCGATCAATCTCAAATAGCAAATTAACGGGCGGTAATAATTATTACATTACAATAAAGTTAACAACCATGAGAAAAAGAATGGATCTGTTGTATCACCAAGCAATAGTGTTGTAGACTGATTATTTAAGAATATTATTAAATATGATAGACATCATTGACCAATGTTTTGAGTCGTATTTATAGATAATGAAAATACCAAGTGATAACCGTCACCCAGTGAACCTAAACTTACTTTCCGAATTATATTCTCTATTAAATTTTGATGACAGCTAAGAGTGGGGATTTGGGACACATAGCATTATGTCCTATTCGAGATTTGTTAGCTGGATTTAGGAAAAAAGCATCGCAGTGTTGATGTCCACTGAAGATTCGAACCCAGTAGCTTTCGTTTTAAACAGCAATGCGTCTAAAACAAGCGACCAAATGGAAATTTTAAGTCAATTCACTCAGAATGTACATACACTAACAGGGATTGGTCAATTGTAGTCTTCAACGGGAAAGTACAAACCGTAACTAACATATTCTCTATGTTTAGTCTTCTTTTTACAATTATTGATACTATTAATATTTTAAATCATTTACACTATTCCCCTTGTCCACTTTATCGGTCTGTGTGACAACGTGACCCAGAACACACATATCTCAGTCTCAGCTCCTATGTAGACTGATTATGACCGGTCGAATAGCTGAAATAATAACCAGAAGGAAGAAAATAAGTAAAAGGAATGATTGAAAGCCTTTTTTTAATTACCACTTGTCAATGTAGAAGAAGACAACACTTACTATATGAATTCAACCCTAAATAGCTAGCAATTGAATGAACCAATAATCTTTGAAATGGATCCAAACATAATAGATTTGAATGCGAATAGTAATTCTTATCATTATTCGTACAGTTGTTAGTCATTGAAGGTGACATTGATTGTGACAACAATGATAATGACGGTGTCCAACGACCAGCAATTCTATTTGAATTAGTTTGAGAGAAAAAATGCTGTCTCAACTCAACTTCAACTCGTTGCAATAAACAAATATCAGTCGGAGTAAGAAGACGTTTACAACGTTTTCGACTGTGTTTTAAATTTTTCATCATCATGTTTGGAGTAACAGAGTCTGATACAACGGATAGTACACGAGTAGGAATACGCTGTTCTATTTCTAAATCATGAGAATCATCTTTGGTTACATTGTTATTATCTTCTGATTGAACAGGTACACCTAGTTATATATTTAAAAATAAAGATAACGATAATAAGTTACCATATTACTGTAGATAGATGTTAAAAGATAGTATAAACTCTGTACAGAATACGATCAAACTGTTCATGGATAGTAAAAAATGATCAGGATCATGACTGGAACACAGCAATAACAAACTGAAGGCTTGAAAACGTCAATTTTTTGCACTGATTAAATTGAATCACAAGCTTTAGCATGATAAACATACAATTACTACACTTTTAACAGAGCATGATAGAGGGGGAGTTGATGGGTGAACGAGGTTTGTAATTGTTAAAATGAATAAACCCAATACCGATTGACAGATGATATGCAATGATACGATATGACCGAGTTGATGGCTACACATGACACTAAATTATCAACTAAAACCTCTCGATTGACTTGAGATCAAAGACAAGATCCACATTAAAACATTCATTTAATAGAATAACATGTTTATATGTAAATTAATGATACAGAAACAAACAATTAAATTGGATAGGCAATTGGTCACTCGCACTCCTATTATTTAAAAACTTGCCCAACATATCCGATATTATTTAGTGTTAACTTGGAGAAAAAACACTGAAAAACACTACATTTATGAAATTACACACGAGTGAGACTTAAAAATTTGACTACAGCAATCAGTTTTGAATGAACAAAACCTTAAATAGACAACCCACTAGCATAACTTATTTGACTTGTGGTTTAAAGATTAAGATATAGTCGCGAGGCCCGAAAGATTTTGAGTTTAGTCCTCGGTGGGATCATGAACCACACTCCTGAAGATTTCGTGATGTAAACAACAAAATTTAAGATATCATTTTCGTTAGTTATAACAACAGCAAAAACACTCCAACTATACGGAAATGCTTTCTTTTTCTCAATTGTGCATATAAATAATAGTATCATATATATTACATATTGATCAGTTCATGACAATAGTGTTGATGTTGAGTAGTCTGAAAAACCCATATTAAACTCTTATTTAAGCATTTTCTACAATTTTATTAAATACGAATGCCAAGAACTATGAGGTGGCTTACTGATTAAGGCGTTCAGCTACTTGTCTTTGAGTTTCAGGTTCAAGCCTCGCTTTATCTACTTGATTTGGACAACCGGATAGATAGTATCATTAGCCTTCATGCTTAGTTTTCCTTTTCCATCATCAAAAACCTTAGTATTCTCGAATATAGATGGATTAAAACAAAGGTTTGTATATGAACAGTGAATATTCTTTCATAATAAATTCTCATCAGGTTCTACAGTTATGATTCTAAATTAATGTTTTCCTACATTTGACCGGTCTTCAAATTGTTCTAAGTAACCTACGTATTAACATTTTGCAGAGTGCGTCACCTCAGTGATTTTCTTGTTTACTGTTTGAACTTACTAGAGGAGTACACGAAACTAAGAAGATTTGTGTACTATCTTATTTTTCTTGTTCGGATTTTTTCGCAGTGATTTATCTTCAGTTTCTTACTCGCATTTAAACTTAACAGTTGAGTAGACATCGAATTGCCTAAAAGTCCCCAATAAATCAGTATACACCGTCTTTACAAAGGGATGATTGTATCATCTACATATGTGATGTTCTTTTTTGTTCTCTAAACATTTTGAGAAACACGTATATTGGTTGTTTGGATCTTTCCATTCATGTTTAGGAATGCAATTGACCCATCTCTTTTGCGATATGTGCATCCTGAGAGCATTGTCTCGATATTGCCTCAAGTCACAAGCATTATAAGCAGAAATGGATGGTAGTGGCTAGCAGTGGAATCCAGGACATGCGTTTCGTCCCGTATGGAACCCTACAGCTGGATTCATCTGCATCCCAGAGTTGATGTACACTACCGGACTCCGATCCAGTACTGTTCATTTCAAACGTCATCACGTTATTCACATAACTATTGAATCCAGCTGGCTTATGAAATGGAGTGAATTTTAATTTTGATCCATATATATTGGTTGTTTGGATCGAGTCCCAGAGTGAACATCAACTCTGGGATGCAGGTACATCCAACTGGCAAGTTCCAAATAGGAAAAACGTGCGTTCTGGATTCCACGGTTAGCCATCATTCATCTCTGCAAAAATATTGAAAAACATATTAAGTGGGAAATCATACTTGTAAAATATCTTAGCGCATCAAATTGTATGATTAAAATGTACTTATAGCTTTAATTTGACCTTAGTTGTAACCTAAATCGTTATCTATCCGCTTAAATTTAACAGAAAAAAATCTTCACATATAATACACATACCATCACATGGTACATCTTAAATAGACGTTACACTAAAATGAATCACATTCTCACATCATACACAAAGTCAATACTTGAACATGACTGGACAAACAATTAGAACAGAATTGTTTTTTTGACCTCATTTCTCTTCGATAACTTCTGTCATGAAAGCTAGACCAAATTTCTAGGTGAAACACTAAGTTATTTAATTTCCAGGACAGAGATTTTTACAAATATAATTTTCTTTTTATCAATATGATGATTGCTCAGATTGTTGAATTTTATTATCAGAGAGGGTTTTGTGGAGAATTTAGTATTTTTCACAGTTGAAATCATTAGTCAATTGAAGCTAGACCACCAACGAAAACTTGGAAGCACTGGACGGCCGTTTCGTCCTATTATGGGACTCCTCAGCAGTGCGCATCCACGATCCCAAAACTCATGATTTCAACTGTGAAAAATACTAAATTCTCCACAAAACCCCCTCTGATCTATAATCATATGCTCACTAGTGACTGACTTCAAGAGATATTTCCTTGAGTTCTAGTGGGAAGCAGTAACCAGTGGAGTTCTACCAGGTCTGTTGTAGAGATATCAACTCACTGAAGACAATTGGTGAACGGTCGCTCAAAATCGTGGATTGGTTGAAGTTAGACATTAATACCGTTGGATGCCGACTCAGTGGTCTATCGGTTAAGTGCTTCGGCGCGAAGCTGGTAGGTCCTGGGTCCGAATCTCGCGGGTGCGGGATCGTGGATGTGCACTGCTGAGGAGTCTCATAGTAGGACGAAACGGCCGTCCAGTGCTTCCAGGTTTTCGATGGTGGTCTAGCTTCAATTGACTCATGACTTCAACTGTGAATTTTATTATGATCATAAACCGATTTAAGTTAAACAACCATTGGAAACCTGGGAAAACTGGACAGTCTTCCCATCCTAGCATGGGGTCCCTCAGTAGTGTGCGTTTACAATATGACCACATGAGACCGAACCTAGAACCTTTGGCCTCGCGTGAACACTTAACCTATAGGTCACTCTGAGCCGCGATCCAGTGGTGTACAAGTCTAACTTTAGTCAATCAGTAGTATTGCGCGACCACCTTCTATTATCTTTGATTATTTAGACTTGTATAGCACTGAATCCCGGCTCAATGATCTAGAGATTAGGCGTTCGAGAGCGAGGTTGAAAATCCTGGCCTTGATCTCCAGTGGTGGGGTCATGGATGTACACTGATGAGAAGTCCAACATTGGGACGAAACAGGTGCCCAGTGCTTCCAGGTTTTCAATGGTTGTCTAACTTAGATCGGTTTGTAATCTCAATAAAATTTTACTTTTGATGTATTTTATACAATTGGTGCTTAATTTATTGTGAAACTATTTATTTGAAATTGGACGAAAGTTTTTGTTAAAAACAATGAAAAAATGTTCGCAAAGATACAGTGTCTGTGGCTCAATTAGCTACTGTCAAACATATAAATACAGGAAATTTAGTCCAACTTCAATCGTCACACAAAAGAGGATTTTCGTAGGCAGGAGATTAGGAATATCACTTTGTGAACCCGGTCGTTAACACTGGTCGGACAGGGGAAAAAGACTAAGCTATAAAAGAGGGGTCGATAGTTGGGAAAGAAGCATGAATTAGTGAAGGGATTTGATAGTGAATAAAGTAGCCCAGAGTGTTGTTAGAAGTGTGTGCATGGCTGTCGCTATCCGGTCCCGAAACCGTGGAAGGATACTTTTTCTCGAGGTACCTGGGTCATGATGACCTACGTATTCCACTGCTTATGATTTATCGACCGACAAACCAGATAAGTATCGTTATGTCACTTGCATAGATTATGATGCCAGCTAATCACACAGCATAAAACAGAAAACGGTTTAAAAATCTACCCTCTGAGAAGAAAATTCGCAACTAGTGAAATAATCCGGCATGATATTGATGAATATTAATTTAAAAGTCTGACGCTAGTAAGTAACAGGTTAGTGAAAGACTTCCATTAAAACTGAGGATTAAACGTTACAGCATTTGTGGTTGCGACACAGGTATACGATAAGTATGAAAAGAACAATCCCAATATAGAGACTAAATTACAAAAAAATACCTTTTTACACATGTTAAGAGGAATAATAGACTCTATGTAGCCTTCTATTTCGTACTAAAGAACTTGAAGAGGTACACTGATCTTCGGAAGTTAGTCAGTCAGTTATACGCAACGTAGAATCTGACAAGTGCACCGACTCGAGTTGGTATATCACATTAGCAAAGAGAGATAAAATTATTTCAAGATAAATCCTCGGTTAGTAACAGTATCGAGAACAGTATAGAAGGTATGGATAAAGAAAAAGAGTATGATGAGGTTTCGGGACGTAGGTTCTGAAAGAAGAAAAGGGACGAGTGCATTTGTGCCACTGAGAACGATTCTGAGCCATGTTACCCGAAGTCTCTGACCATTGGTTGCAGCAATCACGCGGACTGCAACCTAGTAACATTGCTCAGTCCAACTGGCAAAGACTTCATGGACTGCTACCACACCTTGGTTTGGTTGTCCCTAGTTTTCTTTCAGTCCACTCCTACACCAACATTCCTGGTCGAGGTAGGCGGCAGTTAGGCATACATGTCACATGTCTTGACCTCCTTAGTTAATGAGCTTCCAGCATAAAAAAAGCTACACGCAAAATTATGTAAAAATTCATTAGCAGTTAGTATTACACGATAATAATAATCATACATTAATCTTGGATTTAGATTGTCAAACAAAACTTTTACAGATCTAAAATATTTTGAAAATGCATACTTCTTTGTAGATAAACACTTGGGTTATTTAGAAATTCATCTGTAGTACCAAGTACAAATTTATGTTCTCAGTTATGAGCTAAAAGCCTAGTGCATGAAAGTTTTGGTTGGTGTTTTAGAAATTGGGTTCAATTGAGTTAAATAAGTACTGTAATCTAATTTTATCTCCAACTCTATGTGACCGCTCTTTTAATGATGCAGTGTACTCAATAAATTAGCAGCCTGGAGACAAGCCCTAATTTATTCAATACCCTACATTGATGTCTGAAGTCGGTATTCAGAGAAACTAACGATTTCCTGACGCATAGTGGTATTGTAAGCTGCCAATATGAACGATTTCGATTAAAGACGTGTTTTTCGAGGGTAAGTAAAGTCTGTATCTCCCACCAGTTTTGTTTTCTTTGATTTGTACGAGTCTCAGTTTTGCTGGTTCAAGTACCAGCCCTTTGCAGATTACGCAATAGTGATATCACCTAGCTGATCAAACCGAAAAAGCTTGAGTGTGAGGGGTTTAAATTTTGGCCAAGTGGTTGAATACCAGTTTCTCTAATCACTGTAAAACTGAGTCACATTTGTAGACATCGGTAAACTATTCGCATTGAAAAAGTTGACATTAAGCAAAAAATTGACTAATATATAAAAAAAATCAACTCTTTAAATGATACCAAACACTATGCAGTTGTCATCAAACTCAATTATCGAGAATTCAACTTGATCACAAAACCTTGGTTCTGATTCCACACAGACAGAAATGGATAAAATATTGAACACAAGTGGAAACTACTTTTTAAAACCGATACTGATGAATTAAACTTACACACATTAAGATTGGATTGTAGCAGTGAATTCACATCATCAAATCGTTTCTTCCTCTCTTCACGTTTAGATCGTCTACATCGATGTTTCACATGATGTTTTGGATGAGATAAAGAAGACGAGGTATGGTGAATAGCAGAAGGATATGATGATATCACATCACCTTCAATATCATAATCATCACTACCTGATATATCATCATCATCAATAATTTTGTTTTTTACACGAAGTGTACCAAGAAGCTTTTCTTGTTCTTTTTCAGATAATTGAATAAATGCATCCCAAGCAGCTCGAATACTACGAAGAAGAATTTCAAAAGAAACACAAATTGCTCGTAAATTTAACACAACATTCTATGTATCCATTTTAAAATAGCAGACAGGAATAACTTGATAGTTTAATGATTAAAATGTGTTGGGAAATGCCATATTTTAGTTGAAGAGATTTCGTAGAGATTGGTTCCACTGTTAGGCTGTATTCATCACGAAACCCCTTCAACTAAACTGTGATAATAGTCAGCTTAATAGTGGCTTACTTTAGGAAATTTCTAAATCTCTAATGACAAGCTAGAAGTAGTGGGGTTTAGGTACATAAAACAGTTTTTATCGACGGCACTAGATAATCGTTATGGTGAAACGCAAATGAAATAAAGTTGAAATTACATCACAGGATCACAACCCAGTGATCCAAATGGTTAAGCGTTCACCAAGAGAACTTCAGGTCCTCAGTCTGATCGCTGGCGAGGTCGTGGATGCGAGCTGCTGAGGATTCTGGTACTAGGATCAAACAGTTGTGTTCAGTACTCCCAGGTTTTACAATAGTACCGCAATTAAGACCATTTTATAAAGAAAATGTTATATTTCCCAAACAGTCGACAAGAATTGACTAAACAAAAGTTAAAAATTCTAATCATTGGGAAATCCAAAAAAACAATTGCAAAGAAGTGGAAGAATTAAGCTCTCTGAAATTAATACATGTAGCTCAAAAAAAACCCACAATAAGCTCTCTATGGATACCACCAATAAGTTTGTTATTGTAATTATCATCGGCTGGAGCATCAAATACATTTCCTTTCTAAAAATTAAGGTTATAGAATAATTTTGAGAAGAGAGCAAATTTGTATTTCTGGCTACTGGGTTATTGAATTGATGAGTAAAGTTACGTAGCGATAATATGGTGTATAAGAGAATGCTTTTAAGAAATGCAACCAATACAGTTAGCCATTATTATGCTAATTATCAAGCTTGGATCAAGTGAGGAACAGAAATACCAGGAAACAATGTATGACTATTATGAAATCCTGAAAATGTGAATTTAAAGATGCTCCTGCGTTAAAATCAAAGCCTCCCCACAGTTGATAACATTCAGCTGTCTCATTAAGGTACGAAATATCCAAGGTCAAACCTGATCTACAGTTGAATATAACTTTTTATTTCGCAAAGCATTAAGCTGGTAATTCATATTCCTTCAATTGATTTATGAATTCAGTATAAAATGGGATAAACATAACAACCAAAGAGTATCAGCAATGACTTAATTTGTAGTGAAAAGTAGTTTCTAATATGTAAACTAAATTGTGAAGTAGACAAGAATTAGTTAAAATTATCGATCCCGATAATGAATACTGTATTACTTATTTCCCAATTTAGCACAAGACCATAATCCTTACGTATTTGTACATGTGACTGATTCCACGTGAACAGAATAATGAACGAGAATTATTCAAAATGTACAGTTTAATCATATAAGATTGTTAAACAATATAACCCAGTACAGTATTGGCCTAGGTTATCCGTAATAGTCAATAAGTGTGTTGTATCTATCATTTTTGACCAATTTTCTGTTCATTTAGTGAATGAGTGAGTGCTGGATATTAGGGAGCAATTTTCATTAGAGGTTTTATTTCAAATCCTAACTTTCATAATGTGCTTTTTATCCAACAAGTTGGGCCGCACTACACTGATATGTTACAGATGGATAACTTTAGATACATAAAATGAAATCTACAATGAAAACCACTTCTATATGTACCACTAGCTCACTTAACTCATGATCCATATAGAAATTTTTAGTGACCGATTAACAACACACAATTTATTCAATTATATGGACCAAGCAAAAATTTCCCTCTGATGTATTTATCGGGACTAAACAATTCAAAAGCATCATTTGATACATTTTGTTATGCGTATCAATTACATACAAGATATTTAACTGTTCGAGTTGGTAAAACCCTATATCTTAGTAGTGTTTTCAGTTAAATGAACCGTTCAATTATTGTCAAGTATGTACAGATTTTAAGTATCCACAACGCGTCATCTGCCATAATGTTCAATTAGGAAATAAAATAACCTTCATTCAATTTTAAATGGGTCGGTTTATCCCGTTGTGTATGTTTTGACAGAATTTCGATCAGTCTCAGTTGCATATGTGTATCCTAAGAGAATTGCCTCGATATAGCTGATTATGAAACAAGTTAATACAGAATCGATGGAATGTGGCTAACAATAAAGTCCAAGACGTGCGTTTCGTCCTGTATGGAATTCGTCAGCTGAATTCGCCTGCACCTCAGAGTTGAAGTACACTACCGAACTCCAATCAAGTACCATCCGCTTGAAACGCTATCGCGTTACTCACTTAGCTATTGTGTCCTGCTAGCTACTGGCTTGTGTAACGGGCATGAGTTTTATTTCTAGTTGAAATGGATAGGATTCTTCCGTTGTTGAAAAGAAAATTAGCAATAATTTGAGTGCATTACCAACATAACTGTTAGTAATAATGATAGTTTGAATTCAAAACCTACTTCTGATCTTCTAGTAATTTAGTAAACGTTGAACAATAATTAAAACTTTCAGGCCAATAATCATCAACATTGTCTCCATCGGTCTCAGTGATCACGGCTAATGTATTTAAATAAACTTCTAAAGAAAAAAATAGCAAACATAACAAAATATATTGACAGATTAACAACACGCATACAATTTAATTTATTGGTTAGCTTTAACGATCGACATTTGTCAATTTAAACGATTTGTCTGATTTTTAAACGTGTTTCTTTTACTTATTTATTTAATTATTTATTTGAAAACATAAATATACGTACAAAGAAGCACCAGATACATATGCGCCTCACAAATCTCATTCGATTTGTGTGAGGGCTGTGATACTGCCCACCTGCCCAAACTGAAGCAGGTGATTTTCTTAGGGGGACACACCTGGAACCTTTGACCTAAAGATCTGTTTCACAAGGCAGTGGAGCATCGTAAGAAGATGCAGTCCCATGGTAGCCGGTGACCAACGATTGATTCATATGCCATTTGTTCCTTCAGTATACTGGAGCCCATGTGCACCATTGATTTGGAATCAGGGTTTGCCAACTCCCATAGGTGAACTTTCTGTGTCCACCAACCCGGTTATAGCGCCGGACATTCGCTTTTCGTCCTCTCGATTTCGTAAACAACAGTAATGCCACGAGAAGGCAGTGAGTAGGACCTTTTACCTAGAGATTCTGATTTCCAATTCTTAAAAGTCCAAGTAACTTGATGTATTCATGTAATGGCTAAAGCGTACGTAAACTGAGTCAGCCTGCCTTACAAGAAATAACTCACCAGAGATTTGAATAGAATTACTATTATGCAAAATATATTTAATGAGTGTAGTGGACTTTTAGATTTGGTGATTTCAAATAAATTGAAGCGTTAGTATCTGCTACAGACTGACATATTTTTTGAATGACTCACTAATCAGGTACACATTTATGTAATTGTTTTAGAGCCATACTGTAAGTGTGGAGGTTAATATGGTACGAGCTATCCATCTAAAGCAGAATAGTTAGAGTGAAGTTCGAATATGCGACCCAATGGCCGAACGTTGAACGGCCTAATCACTGAGCCACTGCTTCATATCACATAGAGAACCACTGAAAATCAGGAAGAACTGAACAGCTGTTTCATTCTAACTTAGGACTGTTTAGAATTGCGAGAATATGACCCTTACCAACGATTAAGATTAGATCTTTGAGAGTTCAGACAAAGGAAAGCTTGTAAAATTCAATTTTTAAGGCTGTTATGAAGCAAATATAAAAACCAAACCACAGTCTATACATGCATATTATGATGAAATACCAGTTTGAAATGATTTAGTAATAAAAAACTCCTAAATTTATTACAGCAGTATCAATCAGTGCCAAAAGATGGGTTCACTTTCCATTCTTAAATTTCATACCCAAGTTTTTTGTAAACATACTACAAGGTTGATAAATCTTTACCACTGAATCCAACTTCCTAGTTAAGTAATGACGAGTTCCTAGCGAGAAATGACAATTCCAAGCTTGAATTCATGGCATAAAGGAGTACAGCAGATGGGTTAAAGGCTTGGATGAAACAATTTGTTTCTTTATACTATGCCTAAACGTTACAAAACTGTGCTTGCTTTATAACAAAAAGCAATAGTTAATTGAATAATCCTCTTGACCACTATGAGGTAAACACTTAACACACTGAATATCGTATCGATCAAAAAATGTCTTCATACCATTTTCGTATCTTCTCATCGCCCGTGCTCCAAGCCTTATTTCGCCAGGACCAGTTTTCACAGGTTTATTCCTGGTTAAGGGTTTCTTTGGGCGATAAGGGAGAACGTATGATAAATCAGAAAGACCACTCTCTGAAGTTGTATCAAAATCAGAGTAGTGAGGCAATGACTGACAGGCCAAAGCTGATCTGAATAAGGTAAAATGAAAAAGTAATACACACAAACATAAACGTAAACCCACAAGAGGTATTGTATAAAACGAATTATAATGTGTACCATGGACACCTGTAGTTTTTAGTGCATGAATTACTAAATTCAATAGGGTCTACACTTAGAGTAACTACGTTTGAGTAACCAAACCCCATAATAAAAGGTCTGACTACTATTTCGATCTGCAAATCAAGACTCTGAGTACTCGATTATAGTCATTGAGTCGAAAGTTCTGAATAGCTTGATACTTAGCGGATAACCGAATCACATTGCGACCACATCCATAACATGAACGTCAACATAACCGATATCCATGCTCAACCACACAACCGTAGAAACTACCTTAACATGTTAGTCAAAGTTCCGAATCGTGATGACCTAATCAAATTGCATTGCATGGAAAACTTGTTTCTTGATGTATTACCATGTCAAGCAGGCTAGTAGGATGGAAATAAGAGCAAAAGCAGAAAATCTATTTTCCATGTGCCTAGGGACTTAGTTGTCATTTCTCCTGCTTACGCTGGGGTAGGTATACGATTAATATCTCTCAGCTTTTGACAACTTATGTCACTTGTGGAATAGGCAAGATGTCTGTCTACCAACCAAAGGACAAATGTACTGAAAAGCAGTTGGCTATCTTTTACTTTATGGCTGTCAAACATAGTCTTTACGAGTAGAGTATATTTGTAAGTCAAGTGTATGATTGCAAATATGTGTCGAAGCATCACTGGCATACTTTTGGAGCAGAGGCTGATCAATGTCAAAGTTAGGCGCAGAATATTGCGCAAAGATGACAAATTGGCTGAAAATTTTGAGTATTCTCAGGGACAGACGGTTTAAAGATGCATTATGCAACCCTAACCATCACCTACATCGACATACGATGTTGGTTGGAGAGGTCGGTTGGAAGAAAGCTAGAAGCATGCAAAACCAAAATTGGTACTAGTTCATGAAGTAATTGGTTACTGAACTGACGGGTGTCGGTAGGTGTAGACAACTTGGTTGGAGTCCGCGCAAGTACCTTGACCAGTCATTCGAGTCGTTTGGTGAACTAGTTTATAATCGCCCCCAAATACCCTGGTATGGCCGAGAGTGGGGAGTCAACTCTTCCTCTGGAAACGCTCTCATATGGTCACGTGCATACAACCACTCTCACGGAAGTTCTACCCACTGCCTTCTCGCACCACAGGTGTTGTTTACGAAATTGAGAGGACGAAAAGCGAATATCCGGCGCTATAACCGGGTTGGTGGACACGGCGCATCCACCTAGGGGAGTTGGAAAACCCTCATTCCAAACCAATGGTGCACATGGACTGGCTCCAGTATCCTGACGGAACAAATAGCGTATGAATCAATCGTTGGTCACCGGTTACCATGGGACTGCATCTTCTGACGTTGCTCCACTGCATTGTGGACTAGACCTTTAGGTCAAAGGCTCCACCTGTCTCAGTTTAGGCACCCGGGAAGTATCCCAGCCCTCACACAAGTCGAATGATTTATGTGGTGCATATCTGTTTGGTGCCCCCTCGTACCAATGTTGATGTTTAAATTAATAAATGGCCTATAATCCGTTGCAATGGATAAGATGCATTTACTACTTATCTATGCACAGACTCTGTTTTGAGATTATTTTATACATCCTTTCTCGCAATTTAATTCTTCAAGAATATAAGAGGGGGGCTTTGTGGAGATTTTAGTAATTTCATATAGTTGAGATCATGAGTCAATTGAAGCTAGACAACCATGGAAAACCTGGAAGCACTGGATGGCCATCTCGTCCTATTGTGGGACTCCTCAGTAGTGCGCATCCACGATCCCGCCTCGCGGGATTTGAACCCAGGACCTATCAGTCTCGCGCGCGAGCACTTAACCGAATAATCTTTATATCCAAGCTTTTTATCATCACTGATACCATTACAATTTCTACTATATAATTCATCTTAAAGTCATTTGGCAGTGTCGGTGTGTTATGGAAACTTGGACATGTGCTAGACCCTACCTTTATTATCACCGATATTGTTTAGTAGTGTTGTGGTGTATACTGATCTAATTTTTCGTTTAAAACACCCTTTATTCCAGACAAATCGACTTTGACCAAATGGCCAAATTGAATTTCCTACATTGTAGCAAGACCAATTCACGTTTGAAAACGACTACGAACTTATTAGTGGTGAGTAGAAACTCAAACCACAGGATGTTACGAAAATGAAGTGACAATTTGATCATGATTTGAGCTTATTAACACAGATCCTATGACTTCCTTAGGTTTTACCGATATTCCATTGTTCATAAAGAAAAATAACAAAAGATCTTTTGGCTTAGATGTGAAGAGAGTACACATAAAGATGATTACATTACCAGTCTGATTCAGATAGACAAATTACTCAGTCGAGCATAGACTAAGTACATTACACAAAAATGCATCTCCCAAGTTACTACACATGCCTTAACGCCTCGCCCCGGAAGGAACCCAGGTCCCATCAATCAACTCACCATCTGCACCTAGTAACCTAGTTTAAACTTAGCACCACTGACAGACTAGCTCCACTATGTGTTTGTTGTTTGACCACATAAATATTGGTACTAAGGGGCACCGAATACATGTGCGTCGCACAAATGTCATTTGATTTGTGTGGGGGCTGTGATGCTGTCCACCTGCCCAAACTCAAACAGGTGGTTTTCTTAGGGGACCACACCTAGAACCTTTGACCTAAAGGTCTAGTCCACAATGCAGTGGAGCAACGTCAGAAGATGCAGTCCCATGGTAGCCGGTGACCAACGATTGATTCATACGCCATTTGTTTCCTCAGGATACTGGAGCCCATGTGCACTATCGGTTTGGAATGAGGGTTTTCCAACTCCCCTAGGTGGATGCGCCGTGTCCACCAACCCGGTTATAGCGCCGGATATTCGCTTTTCGTCCTCTCAATTTCGTAAACAACACCTGTGGTACGAGAAGGCAGTGAGTAGGACTTCCGTGGCATAGGCTATATACGCCTGGCCATATGAATGCATTTCGAGAGGGAGAGTGAACTCTCCCCACCCTCGGCCGTACCAGGGCATTTGGGGGCAGTTCCACCATAAGTGACGCAACAAGGAAACCTAAAAACAAGTTCCAGCAACCTACCCATGTTTCTGACCTTCTGGAATACATTTCACAACTCCAACTCGATACAGAATGAACTAATGCCCAGTATACTTACATGGTTGACATTTTGGCAATCACGCAATTGCTTAAAAGATGACACAAGTGTTATGGAATTTCATAACAAATGAAACGACAAAGGGGCCAAAAATAATTCGCTCCATAGTTTAACATTATTCAGGAGAATCAACCCTACGGCAACAACTTTCATTTAAAGTAAGGAAAACTCACTCTGAAGTTTATTTTATCGTCACTAAAATTTTTTAGAAGACTATGAACTTGGAGTGTCTTAATTAAGCGGCACACCTTTTCAGGCACTTGCTTGGTGGGTAACAGCTGATAGAACTAGTTGGTGGATATTATTGTCATTCCATTCAGTCATCGGGTGAGCATAAGCTAAGGAGTTAACTTTTATAAGAGCGTAAAGCAATAATTACCAAATACTTGGAAACCAGGTAGCTTCTAGTGCAAAAAAAACAATCAACGGAATCGAGAACGATAACATTACCGGCACTTATTCTCACTACCGAAGTTTCATTAGAATATATACTACACTTTTCTTTCGGATATTCTATGGCAGGCTTTATTACGAGGTGCTGAAAAGTCGGATATCGAGTCCCGAATTCTTTTCCGATCTCAACAACAATACCCTTACCTATGTACTTAAGATTATCTAAGTTAGGTTTCTCAACCATCTTCGATGAAAGTAAAGTGAATTAAGAAGTAAATGAAGATAAATAACATTCAATTTAGCAACGAGTTGACACAATAATCTACTCACGTCGACATGTTTTTGATGCCTTTATCTTTCTGTGAGTTTCTGTTTTTAATCAACGTTGTTTGGACGAGTGGAAAAATATTACGGCCCGTAGAATCGATTATCACAAGAGACAACTGACAAGAAGTAGCGCTCACAACGACCTAGAAGTTGAAAATGGAGAGTTTCGCTTTCAATAATCAGTAAGTGATTGCTCATCATGAGCTTTTGTAGTCTAATTGACTTCTTTGCATTTTATCCCAAGAGCCAAGGTACGGGTTCAATTTTTGGCGTTGTCTAGTGTAGGTATTCTAGTTGCTAATCTGTACTGAGCCAAGTGAATATGATAGTTTTCAGATTACTGTGTCCTGAGCATTAATTAACGCGTTCGTTCTAGGGCAGTGAGGTTTATAAGATCATTAGGTATCACACTGCGTAACCTACTGTATTACTTTAGACCGTATAGCAAGAGGAAAAAGTAGCAAGTCAGAGACAGAAATCCCGACAACTAAACAGGTAACTAAATTTACTAATTGACTAAACCAGCAAAGAATAATCATTGAGTTAGACGGAGACAATACTATACGAGGTGGTAAAGGGATTCGCGAGTGACAATAATAAGTAATTATGAGGAAAATGGCGAAATGTGGTGTAGGCGGGCTAATAAATACTCTGTGAGTGAGTATAGTTACACGGTGTGCAAGGAGAGTTATAAACCATCAGTACATCCGTGATCGTCGAGTCACCTCTTCAAAATATAAATTGGGTTAGCTTTAGCTACGTTGGCTAAGAGGGTGTCAGAGAGACCCCTCGCATGATGTGAAAAAAGAAGGGAATAGGCTCACATTGTCTTTCTGGTAACCGTCACTGGTATCTTTAATGGATCTAAATTAAGGCCTAACAAGGCTCTTGTAGCGTCAGTGAAATGTCACTGAACCCTAGCCAAATCATCCGGCAGTTGGGTCACTGAATATGGAACAGATCGTCGATCCCCGTCAACGTCAAGGACAATCAACGCGCATCAGTCAATCACATACCATGGACTGGCCCATGCGGCAGTGGTTTTACTTTTGCTTGTATCTCCTTTAACTACTATATTCTTGTAATAACGTCCTTTGTGTTGTACAGTCTTCAGAGCATCCATGATTCCTTAATACGTCGATGGGGCAATCCACGTAAGGTTCTGGTCGCGAGGTGTGACTTCGAAACTAGCTTATTCGTCACACCGTCCCCGTCTAACTCGAGTAGGCCTCCAACCATTCGACATAGGCCATCAGTGTTGACGGTCTACGCTCCAAAATGGCGATGACTGAGGGGGAGTAGTCGGTTTGTCGATGCCTTGTAGACTGAAGCAGCATATTTTTACACTTCTCGACGTTGAATGCTAATCGTTTGTCTCGTTTCCACTTTTTCAGTAGCACAGGGTTTTGAGGAGCTTTTGTAAGTTACATTTACATCTTATGGCTCTGAATAGTTTAATGTCGTCTTTACAAATAAGATTTGATGCTATGAGATTCTCTGGGAGGTTGATAAGGTATTTGAGAGACGAGAAGGTCCTTAGAATGGCTTCTTGTGATTCTTCAAACATTATTACTCTTCAGCTCGGAACTTTGATCTCTAACTCTCAATCTTCCGGATAGTTTCCAAAACAAAAAAGAAATGAACTCGTGGGTTTCGGTAGTTCTACCTTAGTCAGCAGAATGGTGTGTTGAACATTATGGAACGATTTAGACCAATCCAAAAACAACTGATGGACAAGATGTTTCTGATCTCAGAAGTCTGTCCAACCGTCACTCACCAACGAGGCGTTTATGGTACAGAACTTGAATTTCCTCAAGCAGTTTTGTGTTTGAAATAGGTTATTTTCATTAGTAAACTCCATCAGGTGTTCATCCAGCAGTCTTTCTAATAGCTTTGACACTGCTAGAGGCAGTGTTTCAGGTCTGTATCAGGTAGAGTTCATCTTGTCTACTTCGTTAAAAATCTAGTTCAAGATTGATATTTTTCACTATCCCGGTTACTGCTTGAAATCTACGAGTGTCAGAATGGGTGAAAGAGAACGTCACTCTCAGAACAATATAGCCAAAACCATAACGATAAGGTAACTTACTAGGCCTCATTTTCTATGACTTTCTTAACTATATCCCATATATTATCTAGGTTGCGACTCTCGCTATTATCGCTGCTAAAACAGCTGTTCAAATGTTTTTGATCAATGCCTGAATTAACCACTCCCCCGAATGCTCCTTGAAGATGTCTGTTGCTTTGGGATTAGTGAAACTCAAGCATTGAAGTTTAGTGGTAACCAAAGTTCCCTGGTTTATGTTTTCCTGTGACTTAAATCGACATAGGCACTTTAATTTGACTGCAGTTTTCTAGTAAGGTTTGTTTGGAAATATCTCTTGTCCTTCCGTACCCCTTTATCATTCATTTTCTTAATCATATGTACAAGTTAATGTCGGAACCCTTCAATGAGGTCTACCATTTATTCTAGGTGTTTGACTTTCCCTGAAGCAGAAGTTCTATTCCCCAACTTATTCAGAGTATTTTTTGCCTAGATAATACAGAAGCCTTTGAGCTATTTTTCCAAACAACCTCATAAATAATGATCTCTTCAACATTCCAATATTCGTCGATCGGTAGGTGCAGCAGTTCCTGAGGCCATGAAATGTTTCGAAGAGGTCTTACACGGACGGAAAGTTTACCCGACTTCATCGGAATTATGGATCAATCGGTATTATATAAATTGGTCTTCATAGCTTCTCATCCCTCTCTTCTCTTGTGGCCTATGGATTATCTGTTTTTTGTGCATTTTCTCTTGCAGGGAGATTGTACATTTCTTTGATAGTATACTTAGTGTCTTTCGAGAAGTGAGGCCACATGAAATTCTGTAGCTCGGTCAGTCATAAATATTTGAGACCTGTGACCCTGAAGTAAGTACACTGCCACCCAGCCCCTGGTTTTGTTCCTCGTTACGTATAGAAAGTGCAACGCATGACATTCTCACTTTACTGCACATGACGTCAAAGTTTTAATTAGAATAATGAACTTCAAATCCAACTTGAAATATTTTCTTCTGACCTCTTCTGTCTTATCTATTGGCCTCGTCACATTACTGTAAGGAAATTCGGTTGTTTGGCGCTTCACAGTGTAGAGTACGAAAACACGAGTAGGCACAACCAAGTCTATTTGGAGACAAAATTACAGAACGTCTTACTAAAATCTGAGAACCATACAGTAAATACTTCATTTTCAAAATGTCAGTCAATTGTCTCAGATTTCATTGTTCCTTCGTTTCCACATCAATCATTCCCTGTTATCATTCTCGTTTCTCCGGTCTTCTTAACCTTCTGCCTCCACGTATTTCACTTTTACAATTCGACTCCTTCGGGACATATTTGTCACATTCATTAAGAATATTATTAAAGATAAATTCATTGTGAGGACCACTGCCACTTGATATGATATCAGAATTTGATTTTTCTTAAATATTTCCCTCAAATCTATTAGGAGTTTCATTAGAGAATAGTGTATCATCAGGAAAATCAACATCTACCCAAACGGAATCTGGTTTTTGATCATGATTTGACTCATTCAACATACTATTCTCAGATTTGTTAGAAATTTCATCAGGAATATGTGAATCATTATGACAAACCACATCCGGTACAATAACATGAGAAATCCGACAAGAAGTTGGTTGATTAGAATTTTATTGTCTCACAATGACTCTGTGTTTCATTCAACTCTGGACTGTTATGTAACATTATACCGCTTCTAGAAGTCTTGGATAAAGATAAGTGACCATTAGAAACATCCACCTTAGCATTAGTTTCAGCGAACTGAACCATCGTATTACAAACTGACTGAATCTGTCCAGTTTTACCACATTTAAAGTATTTAGAATAACGAAATACACATGAATTACATAGGTGAAACGTGCTACAGAACGAGCATTTACCAAACTTGTGCTCTTCTTCATGAATTGTTTCACAATTTAATGAATTGATATCTGAATAACCTTCATTACGTATTGGAATGGGACGACGTAGCAAAGTAGTGGAATTCCTGATGTTCTGGCGAGTCATTTCATCGGATTTTTCTCCTTTGCCGCATTCAAAATTTATATACTTAACATGGTCCAGTAGTAGTTGCTTGAGAGTTGCATAAGGGAGTGAAATCGGCTTGTCTGGGAATGCCAAAGTCTTTATTAAGCTGTATGCTTTTTTTCCGGTGAATGTAAGGAAATGGGCCACAATATAAAAATCCTCATAATCTTCCTTGGTCATAGCCCAGGTTTCGAACCTCTCCATGTAATCCTCGAAAGTATTAAAATCTGGATGTATATCCAACTGTTCCACCACAGGCTCCATCGCGACGCCAATGTGATGTTTAAGAGTATTTGAATTGTAGTATGAACTAGTAATCCCAGCAATAACGCAATTTAATCAAGAAGTAGTCGATGAGCACAAACGAATGATGAAAAGATTATTTTCTCCTCCATTTGTACTACTTTATGGAATTGAAATTTCTTACCTAGTTGGATGACTTTTCTCATCCATTTACCTGAGTTTCTCATGTAAGCATTTACTGATAAAGCTAGGCACGTAAAATACAATTTGGTATAGACTTAAAAAAAAACCGTTGGACCAGATGGCATGGTGCTTTTTGTTGTTAACGTGATGACCTATTGATATATTTGTAAGTAGTATTTTAAAAAATATCAAGACTAATCATAGTTATTTCCACAACCGTAAAGACTGTACGGCCTAAATTGCATGCATTTAAGATAATTTACTCTATATTTCTCCTGATATATCTATACTAAGATCTTCAAACATAAAACTCCCCTAGTTCAAACAGGAAGAACCTATATGGGGTAGGATCCATGTTAACACTCAATGTTAAGTCTCAAACCTAGTTTCTTATAGATAGCTGTAGAACAGATGAGACGTTACAGATGGCAGTTCACTGAAACGATAGATTTTGCAACTTTTGACTAGAAATGAAATTACTCTATCAAGCAATCTATAGGCAAGTATTGATTAAAAACTTCAGAGTGAAAGCGATGTGTTCTATCGAAGCGTTAGATCAATTTAAATATGATGAAAAAGCATTCATGGTCACAAGAAATTATTAATAACACGCCATAAAAAACTGACTGCGAAGTTTGCCTACTCTCTTAAGCTTCAAAAGTGATGCCGTCAAAGGGAAACACTAAGAAGTCAAGTTTTTGTTTATAAATGTATCCTTCAGTGACATCAAGATACTTAACCATTGAATTTTGACACAATATTTATCGATGCTTATTTCACACTTTGTGGTACATTTTTAATTTTGACCAAATAACACAACTCTGGACTATTTCTAATTAACTGGTAGGTACTGAATTTGAATCTCAGTAAGAATGTCAACACCGGGATCTAGGTGCACTTAGCAGATGACTCCCGAGTAGAAAAAAACCTATATCCTAATATGAAAAACGAGATATCTTACTAATGAATTATCATTGACTGCAATAAATTTTATGTCTTCTGTACATGTTAAACATTTCAGTTTGAAATAAAACAATGACGAGAATAGTTATTGGGGATTAGTGTACTGACGACAGCTATCAAAGCACATAACCTTGTTCAAATAAAAACTAGTATCATAGAACTAAGATAGTCAATATCATATGGAGTTCCTATAATTGATTAAACTGCCAAATCATCCATGGAGGACAACTCACCGACTCATTCGAGGTAAAGACCGGTGTTAGGCAAAGTTGCTTACTCTCACTCTTCCTCCTCCTCCTGGTGATTGAGACAGTTCAACTGTATGGGGCGGAGACGTGGAGAACTACGAAGGCCATCGTCCAGAAGATACAAGTGTTTATTAACAGCTGTCTATGCAAGATACTTCGGATTCGTTGGCCAGACACTATCAGCAACAACCTACTGTGGGAGAAAACAAACCAGATTCCAGTGGAGGAAGAAATCAGGAAGAAGTGCTGGAAGTGGATAGGACACATATTGAGGAAGTCACTCGACTGCGTCACAAGACAAGCCCTCACATGGAGTCCTAAAGGCCAAAGGAGAAGAGGAAGACCAAAGAACACATTACTCCGAGAAATGGAGACAGACATGAAAAGAATGAACAAAAATGGGATAGAAATAGAAAGGAAGGCCCAGGACAGAGTGAGTTGGAGAATGCTGGTCGGCAGCCTATGTTCCATTGTGAGTAACAGGCGTAAGTATCATAGAACTAATCTTTGTCAAGATAACAGTGCATTCAAACATAGTTTTGTCACTTCGATCTCAAAAATTCCAGTACACAGTAAATTTTGAACCTTGAATAAGGTTTTCCAAAACAAATTACCAGTTGACTAGTGTTCATTTATATTGGATATTGAGTGATCGAAAGCAGGTTGAATACAACTTTTTTTAAATTTTAATACATTCAATTGGTGTCAAGTGGGTTATAGATGAGATCAATATTATGACGCTCGCTAGCCTGCATTTTCTAAATCGATAACTCAGAAAAAACTCACCAATCACCAAATACTAGTATGGTTCAGACCAAAAGTTAATGACTTCAAGCACTAATGCCATCTTTTGGTTTGGCCTCCCCCAACTTTCTTCCAACCATCCCCAATATTAGTCAGCATCGCGCGTCATGGTAATCGGTGTTCAGGCATACGTAACATGTGGCCCAACTATCTCAGTTGATGAAAATTCATAACCTCATCAACTGGTTTACCATCATTCCTTAATACCCTATGTCTAACCTCACTATTCCTTACCCGGTGATCCCAGCAGATGCGAGCAATATTTCTAAGACATCTGTGGTCAAATACTAGTAACCTACGAGTATCTTCTACTCTTAATGGCCATGTTTCACAGCCGTAAAGTAGAACAGAGCGAACTGATGTGCAGTATACTCGTCCCTTAATTGATAAACGGATGTCTCGCCTTCGCCATAGGTCATATAAATTGGCAATAGCCAAACGAGCTTTTTAAATCCCTGCTGACATTTCGTCAGACACCAACCCATTACTGCTGGTCGAACTTCCAAGATAAGTGAAGTTGTGGATGCTTTCGACTACTTCACTCCTTAACTTTAGTTCAGGTATTGACGCAAGCCAGTCATGAAGCAATAGCTTGCATTTAGAGGGGGAGAAACGCATCCCAAACTTCCTAGCATTGTTGCTCAGTGCTACCAAAGACTCTGCATTTATCAGCGTCTTCACCAAACAGGACTATGTCATCTGCGTATTCTAAGTCGATAAGTGGACCCCCTGGAAGAAGGTTAATTCTTGAGAATCCAGCTAACGAGAACGTTATTTCCAGCAGTAGGTCTATAATGAAATTAAACAGAAATGGAGGTCTTGAAGTGATAATGTACTGATATGAAAGTCTATTATTTAATTACAAGAAAGTGAATAGATACATAGTAGTGAGCTGATAATTATATAAATCATAAACAATCTATCTAATAACACTTTGAGTGACCACAGTTCGTCAATCATTTAAAAATAAGCACTAGATCATTTGTATTGGCTATTTGAATTTTCCCATTGACTTCAATCTATGTCTCTTTCTGGCGTACATGCATCCCCTGAGGATTGTCTCGATATTGTCATTAAGTCACACGTATTATACACACAAATGAAAGCGAACAGTATGAAGTTTGGGCCTTAGAGTGAATATCAACTCTGAGATTTAGTTACATCCAGATGAGGAATCCCCAATAGGACGAAACACACCTGCTGGATTCCATTGATAACCGCCATCTATCTCTGCTTACTATACCAAATATTCACTGTAACAAGTTAGAAAATAATATCATTGTATAAAATTAGTTCAGATAACAGTTCGTAAATCGAGTCATTTATATATACCGTTTATACTTAATTGACATCATAATTCAAAGACACTCTATTCCTTGAACTTAACTTTTCCTTGTTTAAATAAGAATTCTAAAAGAAATATCTAATCACTTTATAGAACTATTCCCAAAATGTTGAATAATTTGTAAACTTATCATGTTCAATATTATATTGACCTACTACTCATTAGAGTTTACCAATCAAACCATAGTTCACTATCTTTCTGACCAATAAGACTTTTATTGAAGTCAGTTAATCCGTTGATATGTTGTCCCTCCCATGGGAGTGTGACTCCTCTCTCCCCCTACCCCCCCTTCAGAAAAAATAAAGGAAAATAAAACCAAAATCTCTAATCTCTCAAAAATACAATGTTTGTCTTACATTCTGTTCATTTCTCTCTTTCTCTCCCTCTTTTTCCCTTTGAATACCGTTTCTCTTTCTTCAACAAGCATATGATGTAAAAGGTAAGAGAAATACTTTTTAAGGGATGAAAATATCGGATGAGAATTGCGGAATTTTTAGACTAATGATAATGAACCAATCAAATCATCATATAAATGTTACTAATCAACCCACAGGTATTAGTGAATTTTAACAAAATAACATAAAATTTTTGTGACCTTTATATTATCCCATGGGTTTTAATAGACTCTCCAAGGCATAATGAATATATAGAAAAGTAGTTTGTGATTAATGATTGGTTAAAAAGTCATTTAGTCTATTTGTTTATATGTACATATATCCTTCATGTAACTTCTTGTACACCCCCTCCCTATTTTCTAGTAAATTTCAGTTTGATAACCTGTAGTTATATAAGATGAGTTTTAACCTTGTATCCTTTCTATGTGACTATTCTGATCACCACCAACCCTAATGTATCATTCATCTTCTTCTCTTTTTTTTTTTACTCTGGTAGATATAACATTCTCACAAAACTTCTCAAGTTAATCTATTGATTTAACTTATCAAGCTTCAATAAGTATTTCATTTTTATTTCCCAACAGTCTTACTCCCGAAGGATCAACTACACCAATATATCTCATTATATACAATAAGCAAGTAAATGAATGAATGAATGAATGAATGAATCTCTAAGGGTTTTATTGGCCTAACAGTATAATTTCTTGTTCATCTACTTGTTCAACTTCATTGATCGTTCAAAAATATTCATATAACTATTACATTCAAGATTTGTGTTTTCCCTTGAGGTTTTTTTATTTTATTTTGTAGTTTAACTGAGAACCTAGTTACAATTAAATACAATCTATCTTTTGAGAATATACTTTTTATAAAAATCAATCGATTATCAATATACAAATCTATCAATGATTGACCTAATAATCAATAAAATCATTATTTGGATAATTTATTCATTTATCAGAGCGTGAAATTATTAAACAATATTGGAACATATATATATTCATCAATCTATCATTTATAATTTACCCCTGATCAATATCTAAATCAATATTGTGTTCTCTCAATGAAGTTTAACGACCTAACCATATTCAATGATCTCATTATTTATACTCATAAATATAAACATATATATATCTATATACAGTGATATATATTTTGACAAATCAATTAAAGTAAACTTGATCCAATTTATTGATCATTGGCAATTAGGATTCGTCTCCATGGAAACAGGTAAGAAGATCGAAATAATTTGATCTTTTTTTAAAAAAAAAAATTTATTCTTTTTAGAGAACAATAATAATTTCATTCATAAATTTCATAAATCAATAATAATTATTATTAATTTTATCAATTGTTTGGATGATGAAAAAGAATTACAGTTCAGTTGGATACTTCATTGTTAAATCTTTCAAGCTAGATCATTCAGTTGTCGAGCCTTTTATGTTGTTCCAAACTTCCTTTATATAATAAGCCCTGAAATTAAACAATTTAGCTAAGAGAACTTATACGACACAAAAATATGATTGAAGTACACTAAAGAAAGGAAACTTTACACATTGTATATGTTTTAAGATCATTTAAATAAGAATGTCTTACCTCAAGTTTGTACTGATGATGTCGTTCGGAACGACGATAAAAGCTCCACGACCAAACCATTCAGTTCAGAGAACAAAACTTCATCAATATTTCGTTTTTAATTATAAATGTTATAATCACTTTTCTTTCGATATGTCCTAGATCAAGTGCAACTATAAATTCAATACATGGATGAATATATATATATATATATATATATATATATATATATATATATATATATATATATATATATATATATATGGATAATTATTGAAGTATATAAGAATCTCCAGTAGACTAGTTATCAATTTATAGCATTTACCGATCAATGTTAGTCCACTATTGAAAACCTGGAAGCACTAGACAGAGTTTTCATCCTAATACGGGATTCCTCAATAGTGCACATCCACGATCTCGCAACACACAGTGAATTGTATGATTCACTTTTCCAATAACAATACATGATTCTACTTAAAATTAAAATAGATTTCATTGAATATTTACTGAATACTTTTAAAATAACTGAACTGGTTTCTCAGCAAAGATGGATAGTAGGTAGCAGTGGAACGCCTTTTGCTTCAAACGCCATCACGTTATCCGCTTAGCTGTTGAGTCCCGATACCAAGTTAATTTAAACTTCACTCCATTGCACAAGCCAATGGCTATATAGACTCAATAGTCAAGTGAATAACGCAATGACATTTGAAATTAACGGTACTAGATCAGAGTCCGTTAGTATACATCAATTCTGGCATGCAGGTGAATTCTATTCAGAAATAAATTTATTTCAGTCAATATTGTAAAAACTGTATCCACAGTATATAACGAAGAATCTTTACGTGGTGAAATCAGTGATTTTTTAAAATTTAAATAATTGGTAATTGAAAATATTGATTATTTTTAGAACATTTTTAGGTTATGAACAAGTTTGATAATTGTAAGCAATCATGGATATATCGAGGCCATACGCACAGTATGCACATATGCCAATAAGAGACTGATCAATTACAGTCCTAAACATCAATGGGAAGACTCAAACAAACAATACTAAGTAAATTTCAATCTCACCCCATCGCACAAGCAAGTGATTATCAGGACTCAGTATCTGAGTGGATAATGTGATGAGGTTTAAAGCGAAAGGTCCTGGGTTCGAGTCCCAGAGTGAACATCAACTCTGAGATGCACGTGCATCCAGCTGACGAGTCGCAAATAGGACGAAGTCGCGCGCATCCTGGATTCCACTAGTATCCACTATCCATCTTTGCTTACTATATTTGTAAATTAAGGCTATATCGAGGCAATACACACAGTATGCACATATACCAATAAGAGACTGATCAATTACAGTCGTAAACATCAATGGGAAGATTCAAACAAACAATACTGAGTGAATTTAAGTTTGATAATTGCTGTAAAAAAACAAAGATATTTCTTCATACTTTAAATCTAAATGAGTCATTAAAACGCAACGCACAGACTTTTCTAAATTAGAATTTAGCGATACACATGTACAACTTGACAATGGAATTAGTAAATTAGACAAATTTTCTTAGTTTATTACTTTAATCAAGTTATTATCTTACAAAATAATATTGTATTTCTTAATCGTGTGGTGTATGCTACTTACTTCGATATAAGTAGTATATAACACCAATGAAAAGTGGAATGTCTGGTAGCAGAAGGTTGAGGAAGTCGAATTGAAGAGGATGGGAATAAAGAATAATTGTTATGGCAATGAAGGAATGATGAAGTTTGAGACAATTGATGAATAATTTGTAAATGAAGTATTGAACGTATGATTTTCATAATGAACTCTGTAATTTTCGTGTGAATATGCATTGATTGTCCCCACACGTGTTCTTGTTCATTACATGGGTACTTTTCTGTTGTTGTCATCTATTAGATCTTCTTTAGTATTCATAATGATCAGATTTCATTTGAAGATAATTGGTAGATTAAATTTGTAATACAGAGCAGTAATTGAAAGACAATGACTTTTCTGAATTGTCGGCTTATTTGAATAATTTATTCTCTTAAACAAAATATGTACTAAATCCAACAGAAAAATGTCTAAGATAAACATTTCTTCACAATGATGTTTTAACATTAAGTATAGAATTTAGAAAATTTATCAAACATAATTTCGATGTTTGATCTGAAGTTTATGTATCTGATCCCTAGAGTAATTTGTTATTGTACACTACCGGAGAGTCTCATACTAGATTTATTTACTTATTTATTTGAACATATAAACGTTGGTTCAAGTTGGCACCAAATATATATGTGCCACACAATAACAATTAAGTTAGTAACAGTTATCATTGATATGTGTAAGGGATGTGATACTTCCCGGTTTCCAAAACTAACGTAGGTGGTTTTCTTAAGAGACCACACCTGGAGCCTTTCACCTAAAGGTCTAATCCACAAGTAAGTGGAGCCATGTCAGGAGATGCAGTCCCAATGGAAGCCGGTGACCAACAATAGATCCACACGTCATTTGTTCCTTCATGATACTGAAACCCATGTGAACCATTGGTTTGGAATCACGGTTTTCCAACTTCCCTAGGTGAACTTTCCGTGTCCACCAACCCGGCTAAAGCGCCGGACATTCGCTTTTCGTCCTCTCAATTTCGGCCATGAGAAGGCAGTGAGTAGGATTTCCGTGAGAGTGGTTGTATGCGCGTGGCCATTTGAGAGCAATCCGACCCTCAGTCGTACCAGGGCATTTAGTTGTTCATTACTCTCTTACTTTTAATAAATCCTTTGACCAAAATAAATCTTTGGCTAATATGATTTATAAATTAAAAAAATAATCTTCAAGAAAAAAAATCATTTTCATTTACGATAAGTTAGAAACAAAATTATATTTAAAATATATTTTATTAGTTGAATTCATAAATTGATGTAAGCTAAGCTACCAATAGAAACCTAAAGGTACTAAACAGCCGTTTGTTCTAGTATGGGATTCCTCATCCATGAGCGTCCACGACCCCACATGTGAGACTCGAACCCAGGACCTTCGGTTTCACTCACGAACGCTTAACTTCTAGATCACTGAGTCGGCATCCAACGGTGATAATGTCTAACTTTAATCGATCCAAGGTGTTGCGCAACCCTTCACTAATTGTCTGAAGTAGATAACTGTCTCCACTCGACACGGATTGAACTCCATTAGTCATGACTTCTTACTAGAACGCCAGGAAATGCATTTTGAAGCTAGTCACTAGTGAGCATGTGATGATTATTATTATCAGTATCCCTTTTATTGATATACAACAATTAAGTGTTACTTAAATAATAATGAATATTCATTGACATTGAAGTTCAGTTTAAATGTTAATGGGTATATAACTACTACTAAGTATATTATGAAGTATAATTACGAATAATTTTTGAATCCCTATTTATTTACTTGCTTACTTACGTCTGTTGCCCCTCGTGGAGGAGCATAAGCCGCCCTCCAGCATTCTCCATCCAACCCTGTCCTGGGCAATCCTTTCCAGTTCTTTCTAGTTAACATTCACCCTTCTCATATATGCCTCTATTTCCCGGCTTAATGAATTCTTTGGTTTTCCTCTTTTCCACTTCCCTTCCGGATTCCAATTCAGGGATTGCCTCGTGATGCAGTTTGATGATTTCAATAATTTATATCCAATCCACTTCCAATGTTATTTCCTAATTTTCTCTTCAGCTTCCAGCTGAGGCTCCTCTAGAGTAACAGCCGGTCCTAAGCGCGGGTAAAGGAGGAGAGTTGGGAATGGGGTTAGCGACCTAATCCCGTAGAAAACTCTCTGAAAAGAGGCTATTTTTGAATTCTATCATACATAAATCTCAAGTATCATCTCTTTCACTAAATTATATTTTAATTATTGAAATTTAGAAATGTTCCGTTATTCTTATTGGTTACATAATTTTATTCATCTAATCTACACCACATTTTTTATAATTGAATATTTCAAATCTATTTGTGAAACCTGACTCCACAACTTCCACTGATAATAATTCACAAGTGTAGACTACTCATTTCCTAGGGAAAAAAAGATGATTAGGTAAATATAAACTGTCAGAGTCTGAGGACGGTTTATCTTAAAGAAAAAACTGACATTATCTGAAGAATCAATAGGGAAAGCTAGACAACACTGGATAACAGTCGTTTCATTCTAATTCAAGGTGAAAAGGATTTACGACCAGAAATCTGGTTCTTGCTATAAAACTTTTAAAAAATCTCAAGTTTACTACATGCTGAGTTCGTAGGTATAAACTAGTTATATCCCATCGGTAGTCATGAAAGCTTTTCAATGGTACCCATATTCTATTGATTTCAGTCAATGACGTAACTGACCTTGTTATTGTATGATACATTTTCTTGCAGGTATTTGAAAGTAATCATTATTCATAGAATATAATACAATAATTCATTATCAGTATCTAATGGCTACAACAATGAGTTTATCTAACTTATCTACAAATATTGACTTATCATCATCATCATCATTACATGGACATGATGGAACAATCCAAGCAAATAACCATAATAATTCTTCATTAGATCAATCAATTACACCGCAATTATTTACTCAATTAGGAACAATAACCTCATCGACAATATCACGTGATCCTAGTGAATTATGTACCAATCTAAATATGGTTGATCGACATATAACAAATCCTAATTTCTCTTCATTTATTCAACAACATTCACAATATTCTATACCAAATCAATTAACATCAAATTCATCAAATTATTTTACACAATCTAATACACATTTATCTACAACCAATAGTGTTGATATGTTACAACAACAACATCATCATCATCATCAACCGATTCATCATCAACAACAACATTCAGAATTGAAACGTGATCATTATGAAATGTTAGATATGTCAACAGATCCAACGAATCAATTTGGTTTAGTACGTTCATGGATAGCTCAACAACAACAGCAACAACAACAGCAGCAACAAAATCGGCAGAATAGTCTTAATCATCTTCATCATTCTAATCCTCATCAAAATTCACCAGAATGTTCTACTTCACCATCGGATCAATCTAATTTTCTAATTAATACACCTAATCAATCGCATAGTTGTCTTATGAATTCACAATCACAAAATAATAATAATAATCCTAATTTTAATCATATTTTATCTATGTCACCTAATTCCCTGATTAATCACAATACAACTAATAATAATAGTAATGCTAATAATAGTACCAATAATGGTACTCGTAATGGTTCAATGGTTTCTGCATATTCTGCAGTTGCTGCAGTACATCATTTAACTCAAATGAGTAATCAAATGGTTGGTGCAATAAATGGAAGTAATAATAATCCTAATAACAATCCTGTCGGGTGTTTATTTGATAACACTGCCGGTTCAATGATTAATAGTCATTTTCCTTTCAATAATAGAGGATTATCATCGAATCAGATAGTAACTCCTACAAGGTAAAATTTGATATTTATGATTATTCATGCTTTTCTATCTAAAAATGCAGTTTTCATCGTTTTACTGTATTTATTAGAATGTTTGCTTCACCATTGTCAACGAGCTGAACAAGTAATCCAAATGAAACTAAGCAACTGCAAAACATGTCCATATAATTAATTTTGGGTCACAAGTTGTGTATGTGCATGTGATCGTGAGGGATGAAAATACTAATTAGTTGTTTATATTGAACTATTACTAGGCATTATATTAATTTTAAGTTCAGCGTTTGAATGACTGAGCTAAGTCACCACTTAAAAGTCATACCATCACAATCCAAATGGCGAACTCATTTCATTATCTTTCAGAAACTTACTAAATAATAATGAGTTTGAAATGAGATCCGAAAAATCTATGTATTCTGAATTTACTTGATATTGTTTACTTGAATCTTCCCATTGATGTTTAGCACTGCAATAGATCAATCTCTCATTGGCATAGATTTGTATTGTGAGTATTACCTCGATATCACCTTATTTCATAAGCATTATAAGCAGAGATGGATAGTGGCCAGCAGTGAAGTCCAAGACACACGGACGGTACTGGGTTCGAGTTCCAGATTGTACATCAACTCTGAGATGCTGGTACATCCAGCTGACGAGTCCCAAATTGGACGAAGTGGCGCGCGTCCTGGATTCCACTACTAGCCACTATCCATTTTTGTATGTATTCTGGTTTTAAATTAGACTGATAGCAATCAGTATGAAGCATTACTACTGACATTGTTTAATGTTATTTTTCATTACAACCTAGTGGTTACGCATCCCTTTAATTTCTTCAATAATGAATTTAGAGCCTTTAAAACTGATTAATCTCAAAATTGTTAGAATGTTAATTCGAATAGAAAAAAATAATCCAACTTATACTGTCCGAACACTTTGTTAATTGAGGGATGTTTGTGGAGATTTTTGTATTTTGTATAGTCAAAATCTGTAACCAGTTGGATTCAACACTGTCCGATTTAAGGCGGTTACTCACTAATAGTAGCCAAAGATGATTGCACAATTATCGAAATCAGATCATATAAATCACTGGATATCAATCCAGTGTTGTAAATAGTAAGTATAAATAGAAAAACCTGTAGTTTCTATGTCCGATCGTTGGTGAAGTCGTCAATATATACTGATGAATCCCATATTAGGACAAAATAGTTATCTAGTTCTCCTTAGTTTTTAATTGTTGTTTACCTAAAGTCACTTTGTGATATAAACTATGGTCATTTTGTATTCGTCTTTCTGACGATTGGTTTATAATCACTATTTATAACTTTCTAATTTTGAAAATTAGTCAATCAAGGTCTTTTTGTAATCCGAAATAAGCATACTATAGACTATACAAAGGGAATTTCCTTTATGAATTGACATAATTATGAGAATTATTGAAATCCTAGGTTCACTGAACAGTTACTTTACTTTACTACCTATATATGAAATGGAACCTAGAACATTTCATCCTGATAATGTGTATGATACCATTTGGTCCAATGAATACATATCCACTTATCCGTATTTTTAATTTCATTCAGTTAATAAAGTGTAGCTTATTCTATAAATGAATGATCACTAGGTAGTGACCAGATTCATCTTCACCTACTCCTTTAGTGATAGTTGAATTATATTGAATAGATTAAAACGTGACCACTTTTCTAAGGGACTGAACATGATTTGCACGATGTTAAAAAGTTAAGTATTTGGAACTAGTCATTAGAAAAGGTTATTCAATGTAGATTTCTTGTTCGGTATCATTCATCAATAAGAGACACTCGAAAGTTTAGAGGAACTGATGTTTTATGGTACGTTAGAACTAAAGTCACTCAACTTCATCACTTAAAATTCTAATACTAAGCTATTTTGACCTTGACTGATCTTCTAGATAACCGATTAGTTTATAATCAATTAATCTCGGGGTGTTAGCAAACATCATGTTTTTTATATATAGTTGTAATCATGAGTCAATTGAAGCTAGACCACTATGGAAAACCTAGAAGCACTGGACGACCAACTCGTCCTATTATGGGACTTCTCAACAGTGCGCATCCACGATCTCGCCTCTCGAGATCCGAACCCAGGACCTATCAGTCTCGCATTCGCGAGCACTTACCACTGAGCTAGCCGGCATCCAACGGTGTTGGTGTCTAACTTCAACCAATCCACGAAGTTGAGCAACCAGTTCATCAATGTCTTTAATAAGTTGATATCTCACAACAGACCTGGTTGAACTTCACTGGTCACTGCTTCTCACTAGAACTCCAAGAAATACCTCATGGAGCCAGTCACTAGTGATAAAGGATTGTTTGTGGAGATTTTTAGTAATTTTTTATATATAGTTAAAATCATGAATCATTTGAAGTTAGACCACCATGGAAAACCTGGAAGTACTGGTGTAATCTACATTCAATATAGTATACATAAGTTAATGCCTTAGTCTTCATAATAGATTCCATTATCGTATTGACTAGAATAGTTTTAAGAAATATAATTTATACAGTTTCTATGTGATCATATGAAAGGTGGAAAATTGTTTTTTTTTTCCAGATCCAATAAGCTAATCATTATTTTATATTATGTAATTATAGGGGTGAACGCTTCCGGATTAAAAGTTTTTTCTTTAAAACACCATTATGATTCTATTCACTTCACCTGTCTAATTATTATTAAGCTTACTTTATTTTAACTAACTGGAAAAAAGGATGTATATCCATGACTATAATTAAACTCTAGAATATTACGTCATCTATAAAGGATACTATAAATGTGAACTTGTTTCAATGGTGGGATATATTTTCTTTTTTTTTCTTTCTCTCTCTTAGTGAATTAATCATATAGTGTACAAAAATATTTGAAAAAAAAAAAGAAAATTGATATCGGTAACTATCATAATCTGCTTCCTTTTTCTTTCCTCTCCCTCCCCCCCTCTCTCTCTCGCTTTAAAGTAATTATTATCACCAGGTTTTCTTTTTTTGGAACAAAAGAATAGATAACCTATCATTTATTCCCTCCTCCCTTTCTCTTCATTATTTTTTTCGATATTGAGGATTAAAATTACTGTGATCAAAGATATATATATATATATATTAGCCTCACCCTCCTCAGAATATATTCCAGTTTTACATATTTATTAAATATTGAATCAGTGGTTTAATTACCATCATCATGATCATCATGATCATTACCATCAGAAGATATGAAAGGTTTAAGTTTTTGATACCTTGTTAGGGTGTGAACTATTCAAACTTAGGTAACAAAGCAATCTAATGTCAACTGCGTTTTTTTTCAATGACCTGTCATAATTTGAAATTAGTCTGTGATTAATGTCACCTTTATAATAAATGAATAATAATAATAATAATAATAATAATAATAATAATAAGTGTAAGCAAAGATGGATAGTGGCTAGCAGTGGAATCCAGGACTCGAACCCAGTACCTATCGCTTCAAACGCCAATGCGTTATCCACTCAGCTACTGGTTCCTGATATCCACATTAGGAAGATTCAAATAAACAATACTAAGTGAATTCAAACTTCACCCCATTGCACAAGCAAGTGGCTATCAGAACTCAGTAGCTACTTGGATAACGCGATGGCGTTTGAAGCGAGCGGTACAAGGTTCAAGTCCCAGAGTGAACATTAACTCTGAGATTCAGGTATATCCAGCTGACGAGTCCCAAATAGGACGAAGTGTTGTGCGTCCTGGATTCTACTGCTAGTCACTATACATCTTTGCTTACAATGCTTGTATTTTAAGGCTATATCAAGACGATACGCACAGTATGCACATATGCCAATTAGAGACTGATCAATTACAGTCCTAAACATCAATGGGAAGATTCAAACAAACAATACCAAGTGAATTTAATAATAATCAGTACTTTTAGCATTCCTAATCAGATTTATCCAAGTTTCGTCGCCCAAAAATAAGGGAATGTTCCAGCCTAATATATATTTTAGGATTAGTGACAATTTTCAAGTCAAAGAATTAAGTTTGTAATGCGCCTATTGTTCAAAGTATTATTCCAAATTACAGTTGAATGGATCTCTATTAGTCACTCGAGTTATTTGTGTGCTAAACAAAGAAGTTTCATAGCTTTTGCTTCGACTTTATTCAGAGATCTGTTTAATTTTTAAGTTGTATTCATTACATACTGATCCCACTTGAAGTACCACTGAATACATACAGTGGTACAATTATAGTTTCTATCAACTTACGATGTAACGCGACGATCATCTAATGATATGGGAAGCACTTTTTTACCCCCAAGGTATCTGATTTTAACCAGTCCTCATTTTGTTACCAGAATTTCCGAAGCATATTGAAATAAATAAGTAGAGGACTGACGATTACAATATATTTGACAGAACTTTGAGGGGATTTGTTTAATTTATTAGTTGTACTCTACACTTGTTCGGTCATATGTTTGATAACTGCACATGCTGTGGAAGTCCTATATAGACACAAAGTAGCTATTTAATGTTTCCTGATTTTCAGGAATACTACAATCTGTAGACGAATCAAGCCTACAAAGTCTTTAATATCACAAGGGGAAAAACTAACGATTTTCTGAGGAATACTATATTTTACTATTTATTTTTGGAAACTCCATCAGTGTCGTTAATAGTTTGAATGATCAGCAACCAGGTGATTTTATAGACTGAAAGTACAAAATATACAATTTCTATACGAAAATCACTTATCTAGAGGAAAGCATGCTCACACATTTTGTATTATCTCCATCTATTATCATCAATTACTGGCTATATATGATAACAGTAGTTTTACAATGTCAGAAAAAATCATTTGATGTTATAATTAGTCACGCAAAAGATTAAATCAAGACGACTGTTGCTATTCTGAAGTTGTCATTTGAAAAATAGCTAAAAAAGACTTAGAGATTCGAAAAAGCCGCGACCAACGGAGTTCATTTATTCTAGGTATGTAACACTTATCCACTACAGCCAATTGAAGACAATCACGCAATACTATTAAGTGATTGAAGTTGAGCATTAACACTATTGGATGCCTGTTCAATGGTCGAAATGTTAAGCATATGTACTTGGAGCCAAAAGTCTTCTGTTCAATCCTGTAGTTATAGATTTTCTTGATCATCTCATAAACTACTGATCTCAAGTAACACTGATTATGAATATATTCAATGTAGTCTTTCTCTTTCTTCTTTTTTGTTATGTTCTCATTTTTTATCGATATAGATATCCACATTGTACACCACGAATGGAAGTAGCATGGGCTCGTTTCGAGAAACAACCACCAAATAATTTACGTAAAAGCAATTTCTTTCATTTTATCATTGCTTTATATGATCAGAATAGACATCCAATTGAAGTGGAACGTGCTGCATTTATTGATTTTGTAGAGAAAGATAAAGTAAGTGAATCATTATTATATGACTACTATTGAATTAAGATCATGAACTGATTTAACTTAAATATCTAATAAAAACTAAGAAACATTGGATATCTGTTTCATCCTAGTATGGAACTCCTTAGAGCTAGTGCCTATTAATGACCCCATTGAGATATGGAATTTAGTACCCTTGTAGTGAAAAAGACATGACTGGGGACAATCGAATGTATTTAGACATAAACTACAGACTATCTCACTAAATTCTGATAACCATACAATAAACAGTTAATTTGTAAATTAACAATCAATTGTCTCAATCTTCACTGTTCCTTCTGTAATTATCAGTTCATCTTCTCTAATTTCATTGTTTATGCGTTTTTCCTACCGATTGCGCTTCACTTCAGTTCTTTCCTTATCGGTCTTCTGCCAAAATACATTCTATGTCTAGCCATCACCATATACTACTTATATGGATATATGTAGACCACACCACACCCTTAGTTTCACATGTGAATGCCTAATCTCTAAATCATTCAGCCTATATCCAATAATGTATAGGTTTAATTTCAGTCAATCTGAATAATATACTATTCAGTTTGTCTTAACATTGAGTTTTAATCAACTTGAACGTGGATGCGCACTGCTGAAGAGTCCCTTAATAGGATGAAACGGCCATCCAATGCTTCCAGGTTTTCCATGGTGGTCTAACTTCAATTGATTCATGATCTCAACTATTAAAATGAAATATATAAAATTAAAAAATTCAATTTAGATCACAGCAGGATTTAAGAATATAAATAATAAACATAACACGCAATGAAATTGAATTTTGGAATGAAAGTAAACAAATTCAAAGATTTCTTAATTGACTTATCAATGAATTACTAGGTGTTGACTAGATCTAAGATCTAAGGTGAGACGTTTATTTAAGGTGGTGGAGATTTATAGTTCAGGTGGATGATTTTGATGGGATTCCTTTCCGTGAATTGAATGGTTTGTTTAATACTATAGAAAACTTTAATACAACTTTTTGAATGATATAAAACCATATTAATTGATGGGATGAAATAGAAACACGAGATCACGTTTTGACTCAGTGTGATATTTTTGTTCAGTAATAATATTCTTTGTATTATTCTAGTTTCATTATCATTCAGTAGAGATACTGTGGGAAATTCATTTTTGTATTTCCACGAGTTCGGTTATATGATATAGGTTGATTAAGTGTCAAATCAGAATGAAGATTTGTGGAGATTATAGTATTTTAACAGTTGAATTGATGAGTCAGTCTAAGCTGAACCATCATTGAAAATTTGGAAGCACTGGACGGCTTTTTCGTTCTAGTATAGGACTCGTAAGCAGTGCGAATCTACAATCCCTCATGTAGGATCAGTTGGATAAAATTAACTTCTGAAATCAGTTTCTTCTTTCTTGGGTCACTTGAATCCCAGCCTTACTCTGTTTCAAGTTCCAATTTACCACGGTTACAACATTAGCGATCAATGAACACTTTTATTTACTTATTTACTTCGAACGCTTACTAATGAATGATCTAAGAATATTATTTAAAAGTATAGATTTTGATCTGCATCGAGATCAACAACAATAATAAACGTATGAAATGAGAAATTATGTTAAAAACGGTGAGGCTATAATTTATGGATGAACCAATCAAATTTAAGATAAGAGGTCTCGAATTTCAGCGCGAAATTCATATACTCGTTTAGCTAAATACTATTTCGGTATTATAGCAAACCAGTACTTCCAGGTTTACCATGGTGGTCTAGCTTCAATTAACTCATGATTTCAACTATATAGAGATTATAATTTGAAATATAAAGAAATGGATAGAGTGGTAACAGTTTTGTTATAATCATAAAATGCAAGAGGTAGACGAAATACAAGAATTTATGCATCTTAGTCACTATGACCACTTTTTTAAACCATATCACCTAAAGTCGTCGACTATTATATGGTAGTTATCACTTGGATCGCTATAATAAAGTTTGTATCTCTCGATATGACTCAGTTCAATAAGTGGTCACTTAATAGAATGATGTTATGTTTGGCTTAAGTACTACAAATATCCTTCTACGAATATACTTCAGCGTAGGTGATGTAACATATGTCCCAACTATCTGGGTCAACGGTGGTTCCCATCATAAGTAAACTAATTATTTGTATATGAGAATAAGTAACATTCAAAAAATTTGACCACAGGGGGATTTAAATGATCAGCTTATGTTATATCGAAACAATTGAAAGGATTTGAAGAGATAATGAATCCGTTTCAAAAGAAGTATGAATTACCGCCTTACTGGTAATGTGACAGATTTGTAATTCAGCATAACATAAATAAACCTTAAATTAAATAATAACGTTATATAGTTGAGATCACGAGTCAATTGAAGCTAGACTACCATGGAAAACCTGGAAGCACTGGATGGCCAACTCGTCCTATTGTGGGACTCCTCAGCAGTGTGCATCCACGATTCCACCTCGCGAGATTTATTACTTTTTTTGATTACTTTTTTTACGGTGTATGAAACAAATTTTCGAGACTGTTCAATATAACTGAGTTATGAGAAATACTTCAGAATTATTAAGTAACCTTCATATTTAAGGAAAATCTAAGCTGACAATTAGGTTACCATTTAATGAGGAAGAAAAGGGTGCGTACTCATAACTCAGTAAACAGTTTCATCAGGCTGATAATTTAAAGACCTATGCATTTTCAACTACGAATCAAATTACTACTGTCAAATTACTACGCCAAATTACATTGAAATCACCAACTGATCTAAACTAGACAACTATAGGAAATCTGAAAACACTGAATGGGATTTTCTATCCTGAACATCATTGGATCCCGGCTCAGTGATCTAGAGGTTGGGCGTTCACATGTGACACCGAAACGTTTGGATTTGATTCTCGGTCGTAGAGTTATGGATGTTCATTGCTGAAGAGTCTCGTACTAGAACGAAATGACTGACCAGTGTTCCCAGGTTTTCAAAGGCTGTTTGACTTAGATTGGTTTATGATTTTAATCAAATTACTTTTCTTGAATCAGAAAGTGTTGTTGAAGTCTTAATGTTTCATTTTCATATTTACATCTTTGTGGAAAACTTCCCAATTAAAGATCTACACTTGATCAAGTTGTCCACTGATCATTTGATGTAATTAAAGATGATCAACGTCACATTCTATCTAAACTTTCACCTTGAAGGAATTATTTCTCTCGATGGAATTTGAACACGTTTCACTGAAAACTATCGTTCGTGATATTACCATTAATTAAGCAGTAATGCTAGAAAAAAATAATAAGTAACCTTTTTTTACTATCGTTTTTTAACCGACCTCTTTCCTTGATTATTATAGGAACCGGAGGGTGAAAAAACCAATAATGGAATTCATTATCGAATACGTTTACTATTTGCTAATGGTAAGTTTTGAAGTTCCTGAAAGGTAGATTATATTTCATTTTGCAAAAATGGTCATTATTGAATGTTTAGACTTTATTTTTAACTTACACATTAAAAAGTTAGAGAGTAACTCACTAACTTGCAATCTATATACGTTGATTAACAATACAGAGTTATAATCAGAATGGAGATTTGTGGAGATTGCAGTAATTTGAATAGTTGAATTCATGAGTTTATGCAAGCTAGGTTACCACTAAAAACTTGGAAGCACTGAATGACTACTTCGTCATAGTATGGGACGACTCACTAATGTGAATCCACAATCCCTCACAAAAATGACTCGAACCCAACACCTTAGGTCCCACACGAGAACACTTAACCTCTAGACCACTGAGCTAGCAGGCATTCAACGGTGTTAATGACTAACTTCAATCAATCCATGACCTTGAACAATCATTCATCTATTATCTGGGGTAGAAACATCTAAAATTTGAAAACCATACACTAAATATTACATTTTACAAGTACAATATATTTAAACTACAGAGTTATGTATCAGTGCTTTATCACTTCAACTTCAGTTACTTCGTGAGTTTGAATATAGAAAACTCTTCAAAAGCCTACGCAACTAAATTGAAAACTTAGTGATGATGATATAAAGTTTAATTTCTATCAGTTTTAAATGGTGACACAGATCTATAGAAGTATTTTTATAAAATAAATATATTCCCTAGATACTTTTATGAACAATGTCTCATAACGAAATTCACTTGGTGTTGTTTACTTGTATCTTCCCATTGTTATTTAGGACTGCAATTGATCAGTCTCTTGTTGGCATATGTGCATCTTGTACGGGTTGTTTCGATATTGCCTTAATTCATAAATATTCTAAACAAAGATTGATAGTGGCTAGCAATGGAATCCAGAACACTCGTTTCATCCTATTTAGGACTAGTCAGTTGGACGTACCTGCATCTCAGAGTTGATATTCACTGTGGGAATTGGACCCAGTATCGTACATCAACTCTAAGATGCAGGTACATCCAGCTGACGAGTCCCAAATAGGACGAAACGCGTATCCTAGATTCCACCGCTAGCCACTATCCATCTTTGCTTATAATGTCTCATAACTATTTTTATTCATATCATCCAGTAATATAATGGTGTAATAAAATTATATAATATAACATTTACAAATTACCAGTTTATATTCCTCTATTTTAAGACACATTTTAATCCATATACTTCTGGATTACCCAAATCGAAGTAGATGAAATGAATCTCAAAGTATCCGCTTATTAGTCGACAGTCGATCACTTAATTCACTGAACCAAATCAAAAGTATATAGACGTGAAAGTAAACAAGATATAACTACTCCAGATAGGATAACTGTGTTGTACAATAATCATTTCTTCTATAATCAACTCAAAGTTCATCATCACTTTCTTTAAAAGACTTAGTAATATCACATATATTAGGGAGAAGATATTGTTACAGCGGGAATTCCATTCGATAATCATTATATATATATATTTATATAATAGCATTAGGCACGTGTTATGGTATCTATAATGAATAGGTATAAATGATAAATAGATAGTCTACCATTTACTCATATTCATATTATATCAATTATGAAACAATTTGATCTTGCCAATTATTCTATACATAAACAAATAGAGACATGTGCTTATATTGTCAAAAATGTCAATAAATGGGAGTGGTGAATTTGTTTATCGCATTTGTTTTCTCTCATTTGGTTTACTCTTTATTGGTAATAAGTGATTAACTCATTCTTTGTAATAACTAGATAAGTATTATCGATTACTCTCCGTACTACCTCCTTCAGTCCTCTCACTCACTAACTCTCTCTCTTTGGTTATTATTTTAATAATATGACTTCTTTTAAAAACTTCAACTTAGAGATACCGGCAAGTATTACACGTGCCTCATTTAAGTGAATAATATGAAAGTGATTTTGACAACAATTAAACAAAGGAGAAAATGATTGGGGAAAAAAGAACAAAGCTGAAATCTATGAGGAAGTATATATTTTTTTGTCTTTAGGGAATAATTTATAAGACTACTTTATTTAAATTAATGATAAGTAGGCTAATTTAAAAAAAAATCAACTTCAATAGAAAGGCCGATAGATATCTACTGAAAATTTAGTAAGCATTAGAAAACTGGTTCATCCTAGTATAGGACTCATTCAAAACTTGACTCAGTAGTCTGGAGGCTAAGCGTTCGTCCGTGAGACTGAAGTTATCATGTTCACGAGCCGGTAAGGTCGCAGAAGTACATTACTCTTAAGATTCTCATACTAGGACGAAACAGTCTTTCAGTGCTCCTTGATTTTCAATGGATATCTGACTTAGGTCGGCTCGTGATATTAATGGCATTCAGTAATCTGTATAAATCATTATACTGATAATTTTGGTATTCTTGAGCCCTCTGAACTAGATAGTATATTTGGGCAGCTTTCTTTTTTTTCTGAACAACATTATCACTGTTTAATTCATGTAGCAATGAGCTTCTTCGCTGTTCGGTAAGAATTTAATCTATTTGTTTTGATGTCCTTATGTGTGATTGATTACTAACAGGACGAGTCGGTTTAGCACTTGTGGAATGTTTTAGAAGCTCACTTCTACATGAATTGGTGATAATGTTGCTGAGGATGACAATTATCTAGCTTAGTTTGTTTATTTATATGTATGGATCATATCTAGTCCTTACTGAAAACTTTCATTTAAAAGGACATAAGCTATAAAGTTATTTTGAAACTAGAGAGTAGTGGATAATTACCCTTAACTAATTACTCTTATCACTTTACTAATTATATCACGGGTTGATCCTGGCAAGACAACCAATGAGATTCTGAATGAACTCGGCAGTTGATCAGTCCTAGTATGAGACTTTTCAACAGTGCGCATTCACGATATCAACTGGAAATGGACCCAAGACCTTCAGGCTTCACGGTAAGGGCTTGACTCCGAAGTAACTGAGACGGTATCGAATCATTTACACAAGGACTGAAGGTCCTTGTTCATTGATGCACACTGTTGAGGAGTCCAGTACTGAGATAAAATTAAGGAGTTATCACAAAAAACTCACGTAATATTTACAGAAATGATTGATAAATAATGGATTATTGTCGAAGGTCACCAGCAAAAAGTCTTGGATCCATGTTTTGTGTTAGTTGATATACATCAGCGAGTAGTAACTCCAGTATTGAAAGTATGGTTTCTCCATTAAAGGCAAGAAACAACTTGTTTTGATGACACAGTTAAATAGCGTTAACCTTCTATGTTATTGCAATGTTGATATTGGACGGTTACTGGCTGGTGGTAAGTATTAAATTGTTCATTCCTTAAATATTGACCAAATTTCATTGACCTAGTTTACAGTAAATTTATTAGACTGAATGAAAGGATATGAGCTACATATCGTTTACCAAGTCAATTATATCATAATGTCAAGTCACTTAGTCGAGTAATCACTCTGAATAAATTTTACTTTCAGGTGTTCAACAAGATCAAGATTTATATATTCGATTGGTGGATTCATCTACAAAACAAGTGAGTTAAACAAACAAATGAAAAATGACCTTCATTTCTATTTTTCATTATTATTCGTTTCCATTATTTATTGAGTAATATCCAGTTATCAGTTCGTTTTGTTCAATAGTTTTTAGTCTAATTAACAGCATAAATTGATCATGACTAGTACTACTCACACTACTACTGTAATGAGCGAGAGCATAGGTGGGGGACAATCATTGTATTTTAATATAAAATTGCAGAATACCTTGATAAAAATAGGAGAATCATACATTAAATACTTCAGTTGCAAATCTTCCATTAATGGTCCTTCATATTCTGTATGATTCTTACAATTTACAAGCTCTTTCTATTTTTCCCTTCTATTCTCTTCAACTCAATCTTCTCAACCTTCTGTTGTTAGGTTTTCCACTTTTTAGTGGTGTTACATAGTATCTATGTCTGCCGACATAAGTAGTATATACCACGCTACTATGACTACTACTACTACTTGTTGGTCGTCGAATTAAATTAATGATTAAAGCCATACCAGTTATTCACTTCCCTATATCAGTTAACACAATTGTCGTTATAACAACATAATTTCCAACATTTAAATGGAAAAATTTTTTAAATATTTAACTCTGACTTATTTTTATCGTGAAATTTCCCCCCCGCCCTTCCAAAATAGTTTGATACATTTGTAAAGTGTACATAATATGAACACCGTGTTCATACTTTGGGGAAAAACAAAAAACCCATAGTTTATATGCTATCTGTTAATATTCCATCGTTCTCAATATCAATCAGATTTTCCCTTACAATCTAAATAATGAGTAAATTCACTTGATATTGTTTCCTTGAATGTTCCCATTGATGTTTAGCACTGAAATTGATCAGTGTGTTATTGGCATATGTGCATACTGTGCGAATTGCCTCGATATTGCCTCAATTGACAAGCATTGTAAGCAAAGATGAGTAGTGGCTAGCAGTAGAATCCAGGATGCGCGTTTCGTCCTATTTGGGACTCGTCAGCTGGATGTACTTGCATCTCAGAGATGTAGGTAACCCCAGTGTGCAAGAAAGTGGCTATCTGGACTCTGTAGCTAAGTCAATAACGCGATAGCGTTTGAAGCGAAGGGTATTGGATTCGAGTCTCGGCGTGGATATCAACTTTAAGATGCAGGTACACCCAGCTGACGAGTTCAAAGTGGGACGAAACATGAACCCTGGATTCCATTGCTAGCCATTATCAATCTTTACTCCCTACTCACGCATTGACAGATTCGGAGTTTCAGTGCCAAACATAAATCAGTTAATTATTTGACAGGCAACAAATTTTTGTGACATTCAATACATTAACGGCACTTTATTCTTTAATAATCATTTTGTGTTTTTTTTAATGAACTTTTATTTTCTTAAAGCCTATTGCCTATGAAGGACAAGATAAAAATCCAGAAATGTGTCGAGTACTACTTACACATGAAGTGATGTGTAGTCGATGTTGTGAAAGAAAAAGTTGTGGTAATCGAAATGAAACACCATCAGATCCTGTCATTTTAGATAGGTGAGTATAAATATTTGTTTCATGGTTGTCGTAAAAGGTAATTTTTAGTTATATTCGATAACCTTTAACTAATGACAGATTATTCCAGACAACACAACAACAACGGATTAGGGAGAAAACCTATCAAACCCGATTATTGCTAATGTTATGACTGATAAAATATTTATGAGTCTGTAGGCAAGATCTGATTAGTGTGGCTCAGTGTTGATTGTTCGTAAACCCGAAGTAGTGATGCTATGTCCCAGTGAACAAATATTAAAAATTCAGGTGTTCAGTACGAAACCGGAAGGTCCTGATCTTGGCCCGTAGTAGAATCGTTCATGTCCACTTCTGAAGAGTCCCATACTAAAGCGAGACAATTGTTCAATAATAAAATGCATGTAAAAACTATTTATTGATAGAAATAATCTTAGTAATAATCCAGTCCAATACTTTTCTTGGCAAATTAGTTTATAATATACTTGAACATCCTAAATAATGTGTGGTTATTATTTTGAAAAGAAATGAATTTGCACATTGGTTGGTATGTCGTTATGACTTGGCTTCTTTCGAACTTTCAATATGCTCACGGTGGCTTAAATGTCTTAGGTTTAATCCTAAATAAAGTTGTTTGTTCTTAATGTTAACGAGTCTCATAATAGGATGAAACGGTTATTCGATTCTTTCTCGCTTTCAATGATTCTCTCAGATGATATTGATCTGCAATATAAACCATATAAAAATTAGACTAATATCAACAAAAATGTCCCAGCTAGTATTATATTTGTCTAATCCTTTGGGGCTGATTTAAATTCTGTCGTTCAACTTGCAATGTTATCAATAGTCTAAGTGACTTGATATCATATACACTATATTTTAACATTAGAGGGTCCGACATAGTACGCAAAAACCTTGAATACATGTTTAGTGTTAGATGGTGCTTGTTGACAATGCTTATCTGAAACCATAAATGGACTGATTGTCCCTTTGGGACTAGAACAAACACCACCCAGCACCACAGTCGAAGACGTTACCCTTGAATCATTCGAGACATGAAATATTTACATTGATCGAATACTAAACAATGAACAACCTCATGTTTATCTATTCGCATCTCACAAAGAATATCAGTTTCCCACAATATCCTAGTTACGTCAGGCTGATGAAAACCAACAAACACAAAGCCTAGGTTTAATGTTTCTAGTATATTAAACTATAGAATCTTGTAATAAAATGTGAGAACCATACGAAAAATACTTCGTTTGCAAAATGTCCTTCAACTGTCTCAGACTTTATTGTTCCTTTATTTCCATACCAATCACTCTCTGCTCCCGTTCTCTATTATTCAATCTTCTCAAACTTCTACTTCCAGGTATTCCGTTTCTGATTAGTGTTATATACTAATTATGCTTGTCAACATAAGTAACACACCACAGTCATACATACTTTCTTTTATAGCTGAGTTCATTTAAGAAGTATATTTTCAAATACTTTTTGAAATATGAACTTTTCAATAGTTGAGATCATGAGTCAATTGAAGCTAGACTACCATGAAAAACCTGGAAACACTGGACGATCATAGAACTCCTCAACATTGCACATCCACGATCCCGACTCGCAAGATTCGAACCCAGGACCTATCACTCTTGCGTGCGAGCGCTTAACCTCTAGACCACTGAGCCGGTATCCAATATCTAACTTCAATCAATCCACGAAATTGAGCGACCATTCACCAATGTCTTCAGCGAGTTAATATCTCCCAACAGACCTGGTTGAACTCCATCGGTCCCTGCTTCACTTAACTCGTGATCTCAACTATTGAAATGACTATAATATCCATAAGAAAACCCTTCTGATATATCAACTTTTGTTAAAGCACATGTCATTCAGAAAATAATAATAACAATATAAATAAAATGTCAAATCTCATTATTTATTTCTTTAACATATCATCATTAGTGATGATATACTCACAAACCAAGGGAAGATACACAAACTTACTGGATTAAAAAAAAATGAACAAAGGCTATAAGCAATAACAATAACAGTAATAATGATAGTATTGGTAATAATAATAATAATAATAATAATAATAATAATAAGGATGCTAATGAAGAACTCATTTCATTTGAGAAATTCGATTAGATACTAATCAATTCTTCTCATATCTAATAGGGTACTGATCTAAAGTAACTTTATTTACTATCCCATTGTGTGTATATTTATATGCTTAACATACATACACATTTCCATTACAATATATCTTATCCTTTCAACTATAGAAAATGCTAATTATATTCGACAGATATACCATCATTATTAAAGATGGGAAAGAAAGAGGGTTAATTAATAGGACTAGAATAAAAGGGGAGTAAATAAAATGATAATGAATCAATAGTTTCATGAGATATAACAGAATTTTTTGTGAATTAATATCATTTATTAAGAACAATGTTTATCACTAGGTAATGGGAAACTGCTGAGGAGTCGCAAAATAGAACGAAACAGCCGTCAAGTGCTTTCAGGTTTTCCATCGTTGTCTAGCTTCAGTTGACTCATGATTTCAACTATGATAATGGAAAATTATTAGAATGGGAGTTTGAGGAGATTGTAGTAATTTTAATAGTTAAATTTATGAGTTGATCTAAGCTAGACCACCATTAAAAACCTGGAAGGACTGGACAACCGTTTCATCTTAGTACGGGACTCATGAGCAATGTGAGTTCACGATCACCCATGTGGGACTGGAATCCAGTGCCTTCGGTCTCACTAACAAACGCTTAAACTCTAGACCATTGAGCTGACCGGTATCCAACGACGTTTCTGTTTAACTTAAATCGACCCATGATCGTATACTAGGACGAAACGGTCATTCGTTGCCTCCAGGTTTTCAATAATGAAAAATTGGTTATTTATTTCGTCCTAATTTAGGACTTGTTAGCTATCCACTATTCTATACGATACCAAAATGATAATTTTCAGTGGTTTCCTGATATAATCAAACCATGGAATCGCGATCCGATAGTTCATATTTTCAAATGTAATCATTACACGGAAGAAAATGATCATCATTTAATGTTATTGATGAACTCCTGTTTCGACTAATACCAGTTCTTAATGAAAACTACATTGAAATATCCAAATATTGTTTTAGTGTTAGGTAGTTGGAGGCGGTTGATAGGAGGCCTTCCTCGACCTAGATTTCATCCTTGGTACTTCTCAGCAAAAAGTACTTGAAATATTACTGAACCGATTGTTTTTCTGAGGTTTAAACTAGAGTGACACAATTTCGCAATATGAGGCGCTCCTACTGTACTATTTAGGCCGCTACTGATGGTCAGTAGGATTACCATATTGACATCGACTAATCACTGGATAATGAATAATGTTATGTTTATCAAGTTCTTTAGTGTTAATCGAATTTTGTCTATCAAATTTTAATGTGGCTACTAGTCAGAGTGGTTCAACCTCAAGTACACTATGTTTTACTATTAGGTGGCTGATTTTAGTTAGATCTTTAGGGAAACGATGCCAACTGGTGGATTCGAACTCTTGTTGTACAGTTTTACTGTTCTAGCTTGATTGATAGAATGTGAACAGTACTAACATATGGATAAATATGACACTGACAGTTAGTCGGCCATCAGTTAAATATAAACATAGTCATCAAATAACTTTGCTTAATACAAATCGTTTCTGTTTTCTGTCCCTAGTTAGTTTGTAGTGATCATGTATAAAGTCAAATTATCTAGTTATCTGAAGATAGTTTTCTTAAAAACAGCAAAATCTCCTACGTTCCTATGAAAATCAAGTTCCTAAATAAATGCATGTGAAATAGTAAATTCATTTAAAATTTATGACTAGTGAACGTTAGTATTTTATCCTTCATCAGTGGATATTTTGTGTAATAACAAAACTGATACTAAAGATTGTAAGCAAAGATGGATAGTGGCTAGCAGTGGAATCCAGGACGCGCGTTTCATCCTATTTTGGGACTCATCAGCTGGATGTACCTGCATCTATATCGAGGCAATATGCACAGTATGCACATATGCCAATTAGAGACTGACCAGTTGCAGTCCTAAACATCAATGGGAGGATTCAAACAAACAATACTAATTGAATTTGATACTAAATATGTTACCTTATTAGTTATACCAAACAATAATGAAGCTATAAAATGTACTGAACTGAAATTAAGTAAATTCAAGTCTTTGATTTCTAATTGAATAGTTTAACAATAATACTCTTATTGTATCTAGGGTCTGATCATATACTGGGTTGTGAATGGATATATTTAAGGAGATTAACATAAAAATAAAGTACTTATTTGTTTTGAGGGTTTATATTTTCTATTGCCGATGTTAACAACTCTAAATGATCAGCATCTCTACAGGTATATTTGCATGCTGAAAAGAATGTTTCAATATTACCATTTGATCATAGGATTCAGTAACAACGGACTGTACATAAAAGTGGAATCCAGGTTAAATGATCTTTTCTATGTAGGAATCGTCAGCTAGAAATACATGAACTCCGACGTTAGTGCTTCCATTGAAATCCAAACAGAATAGCTATAGTTTCCGAAGTCAACTGATGACTTATTGAGATACAAAATCTAGCTACCCATCAAATTGTTTAACGGGTATGAAATTATGTACATATATATATACATATCTGTTATAAGAATAATAAAGGCTTCATAATGAAACCAACTAGTTCAGTGAATTAAGCCTTTATTATTCTTATGAACAACAACACTGACCCAAACTTCTATCACTAAGAATTTAAAGGTTGATATCTTCTCAGTGATTTAATTTTTCAATAACTGATAACTACTTATCATGTGTTCTACACTAAGCTAACCTTTTGTTTAACCCCTTCCAAATCTCACTCTAAATAAAGTACAAACCATTTAAATATTTTTTAAAAAAAACTATTAAATTGAAATCATCACCGGGTAATAAAGTTAATTTGGATTAAACAATGAATGGAATATTTGAAAGATCCTACTTATATAT